TTTTCAAATCAACATCATACTTTATAAAAGAAAATATACGAGCTTTGTTTCAAAATATGTTGGGACAGTATCACACAGAACCATCTAGTTCCATGGTAAGCTACGAGGCTTGTGTTATGGATACTAGATAGTTGATACACTACACATATATAACTTTAAATACATACATATTATAAATATAAACACCCATGACTGGAGTACAAACTTTAGTCATCACACAAATGAATGCCCCCAGCGGGACTCAAATCCGCGACCGCCGGCACAGAAAGTAGGGCCGGGCCACTACAAACTGAGCCAAACGTGTCGTCAAAAATTAAGTAATCGTCAAGTTTTGTCGTAATTAGGTATATATTTTAATAAATTCATTATAAATAACAGGTAATCTAATATTAGTTGGTAATACACTATACACGCTTCACGTTGTATTTATGTACCCATTTGTATATGCATAAAAATGTATACAGCTACTGAAAACGCTTGAAATAATATTTTCACATTTGAATAATATTTTTCTAATGTATACAATAGTTGCAATATCAACATTAATAAATAAATAGACGAATCGTGATTAGGTTAGTAATTACGAGGGAACATAGGATCGAACATACAAACATACATACAGGTTAAACACTAAACTAACCTCCTTTTACATTGCAAGTGACGACAATTATATGTATGAACTGCACAAGTAACTTTGTAATCCCATATATCGCATATCTATTTGTATAGGATTACAAAGTTACTGATGCAGTTTGTTGTATATCTCGAAAACAGGATTGAAATTGCGTGATGTTTGAATTTTTCCTTGGGTTATAGAGTAAACACGAGTTGTGTTCAAAATTTGAAGCTTCTATGTCTGCTAGAAGTACCTTAGAATTTTGATGATCGGTGAGTGAGTGAGTGACGATATTAACGAATTTTGATCTGCAACAGTTCATAAACTACTGGTTCAAATTGAATGTAATTTGGAAATGTACCTAGTTTTATTATGTTCTCTTAGTCTCTCAAAATTCAAGCTTCTAGCTTTATCCATAACGACGTTATGGGGGGGTGGAAAATGCTCTGAATCCCTTCGAGAAAAGGATGGTACTGCCGTGCCCTTTTTTGCTCGACTTGGCGGGGGCACTGCCGTGCCCCCCGATAAGTTGTACTCGAACCAGGTACCTATGTATATCCCCCCCAACGTGCTATCACCTTGTCGTGGTGGGGGACTCAGTAGTGCCCGGCCACCCAACCGGGCGCGAAGCCAAGAAACGCACAGGGAAGTGGCCCACTTCGGTGGGTGGTGGGAGGTGGCCCTCTTCGGAGGGCGGTGTACCATGCGGGTTGCTCCTGGTACTTCTCTGATAGCAGAGTGGACCTTGGAGCAACCCCGTGGTTGTTGTGGTCTGCTTCGGCAGACCTGCCGTCGGGGCGTCGTAGTTGAATGCGTAAGCGACCCTGCGACGCCCCATTAAGACGGGGGAAGGCTTTGTTGGGTTTTAGTGGGTAGTACTGGTTTTGCCGGTGAGTCCCACACCTCGTGCGTAAATGCATTTAACGTTAAAAACGAAACAACGACAACAACAACAACGTTAAAAAAAAAGGTACCTATGTATATGTAGATGCTTGTTAGTTCACTAACGACTTACCCGTACTTTGCTCGGGTGCGTCCCTCTAGGTGCCAAGCCGTAGTCTATGGAGGACGAGGAGTCACCTGGTTATAGTCTATGTGTACTGTGTTCTAAATTTTATCGAAATTCTTCCACTCGTTTCAGCATAAACAAGCATCGACGAACAAACACATAAAATAAAAAAGTACATCTATAAAAATATAGAGTTTGATTAATCATGACTTTCTTCTTCATTTTAAGTTTTACGGACTAGACATTAGTCTTTAAGGTTTTTGTATTTAAAAATATTTATAATCGGATGTTGGAAAATTGACTTAAAATCAATTAGATATTCCTTATCATGATCGGAAATGTCAATCACGCATTCCTTGGATTAAGATAAGCCAATTAATTGCTTTGATATGATTACTTTTTATGACTAAAATATATATAACTGAAATTCTTAGAACGTTGATATATAACAAAAATTTTGTATATCAGCGATCGTAAAGCTTAGATAGTAACTTCAATTCAGTAAGATTTAGCAATATAGGTACTAGCGACTCGACCTCGCTTCGCTCGGGTTCGTTCCTAGGTACCTACGTTTTAACGGTTAATATAGATTTCTCAGAGGTATTTTCACGCTTAAAAAGTCCCATATGTCGACCCGGATAACCAGCTATCATCATAACAAATTTAATCAAAATACGTTCAGCGGCTTTCTCGTGATGCGATGCGTGATCGCAGAAAAACAGACAGACAAAAATTGTAAAAGATACAGATTCGGCATCTGTGTCGATAATAATGGCTATTTCAATAAGATTTTCAAAAAAAATATTAATGTACAGATTCGACTTAGTTACAATTTTATTATTAGTACATATTTATAGATGTATAAGATGTAAGTACTTAAGTACAAGAATTCTACAGGTGTAGATATAACCTACATATATCACTTTATTCATGTAAGTTATCATTCATTAAAGAAATAAATTAAGAACCGAATTAGTTCCGGAATTTACCTTCAACATACAAACTAACATTATCTATAATATGTAAATTAGTAGATATTATTTAAAAAAAGTTATTCTATTATCCAAAATTTACGAAATTCAACTTCACACTAAATATGTATGTATATTATATTTGCTTATCCTTATCCAGTTAAGTACTAGAAAAATGCTAAAAAAACCTTTGTCAAAATTATGAAATAATACAAATACATATTTCAATTTATTAATTTGTTGTTTAACGTAATACTTTTATTTCTACAATTTTGGTCTATATCAACTTTTTTGTAGGATCGATATTTTTCGATTTATACCTGAGAAAAGGAGAAGGTAAAATTTTATCATTGTATTATCACGTTTATTTTCAATTTTAGGCGAACATTTGTGATAAAATTGTTTAAATTCCAATCTCCTACAATTTTGGTTCTTATAGAAAATTCGATTTTAAACAACTTTGTTTATGACAATTTTTGCGTATAATTAAAAATCAATGAGTTGTTCAATAAACAAAAATTCACCCCCTCTGTTTCGGGTATAAATCGAAAAATAGCGAGCCTAGGAAAAAATTGACGAGAACTAAAATTGTAGGAAATTTAATTTCCAACAACTTTTGTAATAAATATTTTTCGTGTAAAATTGAAAATAAACGAGTTATTCAATAAACAAAAATTAAGCCTTAAATTCAAGATGGCGGATGACGCAACGGCTCCGGCACCCCGAAAACGTAAATTTAGACTTCCAGTGAAACCCCTCCCCCCCTCCCAACCCTAAAAATGGCCCTTAAAAAATTTTGCAATGGTTGCCCATTTTTTTAGCTAATTCGATATTGGGCTACTAGTAGGTATATGAAGGGAAAAAGACACAAATATGGAATTAAGTTGTACGTACTTGTCGGGAACCAAATGATATGATCTTAAAAGTGCATGTTTCTGCTAGTACATTGGGTGTAACTGCTGGGAAAGGTCATAGAGAAAAAATAGTTAAAAAATGATTAGAAGGAAAATGGAATGCTGGCCATGCAGTGTTTATGGATAATTATTATATTAGTTTAGCTGTCAAACAATTGCAGCAAGAGACTAATACGAAAATATATCATAGTGCTGTAACGGTGTCCATATAGGGAAATGGAAAGACAAAATGGGGACTTACATATCTACTTTTTCTTTAGATTTTACTTTAGCATTTCCTGACGAAATGCAAGAAATTACGAGCAAACGCGGCACTGCGACAATGAAACCTACTGCGATCATAAATTATTATAAAAACACGTCCGGCGTTATCTACAAGATCAAATGCTCAGTTACTACCATTGCGAAAGGAAGACTTTACGTTGGTACATGAAATTTTTATATATACTTTAATGATGAGATTAATGCCCGAGCACTGTATAATTATTTTTTTATTTACCATTTTTTATTCATATCAGAATAGCATGTCGCTCTACGATTTCAACATAATAAATAAATTATTAAATTCTTTTACACCAATGCTAAAAGTATAGTTAAAAAAACGTGTGTGTGTGTGTGTAGATACTTATGTACCTACGCACGTAAGAAGTTTAACTTCTTTGGCGTAACTGAACAAAAATAGCTAAAGATTTCATTCCCTATATCACAACTCTCTGTTTGTTAAAGGAATGTAGCTAACTTCATCATGTCGCTTTTTGGCTGTCGGTGTTCGCGCGCATCGTAAAAATTTTACTCTCATAATTTTTCCCAAACTTGACACGTTTAGCTTCTTAACAAGTAGGTATAGCTTCAAAAAGGCAAGTTAGATGAATTACAGTGCATTCTGCAGTCCTTAAAATCTATACATATAGTAAAAGTATAACTGATCGCTGTCTGTACATGGAGGATATTTGAGAAAAACTATTATTGGGGGTCTTTATTAACGCAATAGAACCCAAAATTTCAGAAACGGTTTAACGGAGACAAATATAGATTTCGGCTCTTGGTTACAAATATCGCGGCGGGCCCTTTTCGACCGCCATCGCACAGACGGTGAAATACACCCGTTCTATGCGGCGGCGGGCTTATTATGGTGTACAATTATTAAATAGTACTATTCATCATAACCGATTAGTTCCTGAAAGTAAATAATCCCTATCCATATTATACTGCTGTATACGGGAAAACTTGCATAAATATGTGACTCACATAATTCTGTGATATGACATTTCGAATATCCTACCACTCGATAGGAACAAAATTCAGTTTTTTTTAATTAAACCTTGTGATAGCGCAATAAAGCTTCTTTTTGTGTGTGAAATTTTGTTACAATCAAGCGTGTGAGGTAGTAACATTGAAGAGAATTGTCATTTCGCGCGGCAATTTTTTCTTTTCGCCGGCAACTTACGACTGTGTTATGATAATTAATTCATTTTAAATAGTAAACATTGATGTACCTTCTTGAAATTTGGACAATAAGTTGTAAAAAGCATTTACCTACTACTACCACTATTAGTTTCAGTTGTGTGTTGAACACAAGAAAAGGAAGTGCTGGTTGGAATTGGTTGGTTGGTTATAAAGAACGTTACGGATTAAGTTTAAGAACTCCCGAAAATCTTTCTTCTGGCCGTGCTATTTGTTCAAATCCCACAATATTAGCTGACTTTTATGAAAATTTGGAAACAATTTTACTTACACACGATTTGGTGGATCGCCCGGACAAAATATGGAACGGTGATGAAACAGGTCTTATGTACGTCAACAAACCTACTAAGATTGTCACCAAAATGGGAAAGAAATATGTATATAATCGCAAATATGCCGAGAAGGGCACAACATCCACAGTGCTGGCTTGCATTAATGCGGCTGGGCATTTTCTTCCCCCCTTTAGTCATATTCAAAGGGGTAAGAAATATCCCTGAACTATCAAATGGAGCTATACCAAACAGTTTAACGTGACTGTCACCAAAGGGTTGGATAAATGCAGATTTATTCTATGAATGGCTGAAATTTTTCGATCAAAACATTCCTCCTGCAAGGCCCATATTGCTGATTATGGATTCACATGCGAGTCATATAACCCCACAAGTGCTTGAGTATGCAAAATCCCACCAGATAATTTTATTTACGATGCCTGCTCACACAAGCCACATTTTGCAACCACTAGACGTTGGAGTTTTTCGTCCACTTAAGACAGCATGGAGAGCAGAGTTACAAAATTATAAATTAAACCATCCCAATTCAGTACCTACGAGATTTGATTTCCACGAGTTCCTGACACCAGTCTACATGAAAAGTTTCACACCTTCCAATATAATAGGAGGATTTAGAAAAACTGGAATATATCCATTAAATAAAAATGCTTTATGCTCAGAAGCTATTGCACCTTCAACGTTGTCAGATAAACCTGTTCCTACAGAACAGGTATAAACGGAGGAAATAATTATCGGTGAAGACTATGTCGTTGAAATTCCTGACTCCGATTCCAAAACAACTAAAACGGGTAACGATCCCGTGTGAGGGAAAAATTAAAGTGGCCTCTCCTTCTGAGACATTACAAATAGAATGCGATGACGCACAAACTTGGAACGCTAAATATCATTCTAAAATCATGGAAGAGAGTGTAGTCACCAACAGTTTGACACCTGTAATCCAAAATCATAAAATTGAAGTACTTGACGTATTAGTGTTACCAAAATGGCAACCTAATAGTAAAATACAATGCAAGAGAATTGTTCCCAAAGCTCAGTGTTTAACACCGGTGGTTGCCACATCATCTCTCGACCCATCCACCCATGTGAAAATCGAATAGTGCAACTGCAGCTACCATCACAAGAAAAGTATATATCAAATCCTAGACGGAAACGACGGAAAGTAATCGGCAAACAAACTTTTCAATCAGCAAAGACATCAAAATTTTCAATCTCCGCTGACGACTTCGTGTGTCGATCTTGCAATGGACTTTACTCACAAGATGTTAAGCTACAAAACAGAGCCAAATGGATAACGTGCTCTTTCTGTACTAATCCATAATACATTCATAGCCAAAGTCAAATTATAGACGATAACCAAGCAGTTTTCGTGTGTGATATTTGCAGCATTGACGACTCTAGTGGTGAAGAGTAATAATACTAAGTTTTAATTACATATTTACAAATTTTTGTAAACATTATACTTTAACGTAGTTACTTTCATAATATACACATTCTAACATATTTACATTAAAAAAAAATTTAAGGTTGAAAATTAATGTTAATTATTATTAATAAAAAGAATGTAAATTAATGTTATTGTAATAATGTATAAGATTATTAAACTTGCTTCTATTTAGTTGATTTGTGAAATTATATTTGATAATATCTAATTGTTAATTTTTAATATGTAATTATGGCTAATTCTGTGACAAAAAATAATTAATACTCACTTAACTCTGATATATCACAATTAGAGTAGTTCTATCACCGAATTAAAGTGATTGTCACAGAATTAACCAAGGTATCGTCATTTTAACAAATTCATATTACGCTTAGTTAATTCTTTTAAAATTACGATTTATACTTCTCATAAGGTAAACAAAAATCTGATTAATGGTCTTACTTAAAATAAAACATATTATTTAAGATTAACCAGGGTCTTCTTGCGGTATTCCGTTTTATCACAGAATTATATGAGCTTACCCTACTGCTGAGTGGGATATGAAACAATGAACTCATACGGTAAACCACATGCAATTTAAACTAGCTTTTCATTTCAGAAAATCAAGGAAAAATCATAATATGTAATAGACATGTCCTCGAAAAAGGTCCAAAAAGAAGAAATTGTGCACGGTGTTATGAAAAACTACGACAGAGATTAGAGTACAAAGAAGCAAAAAAAATGGTGAAAAAAATTAAAACATTTTGCTACGAATGTAATAAATCTCTTTGCGTACAGTGTTATAAAGAAATACACATACGAAATTAGTTCACCGTTCCTGTCTGGCTTAAGTAGTTTCCTAAATACACACTTTTTTATTTCTTTTATAATAATTCTGTTTTATTTTGGATAACCCTTTAGTTTTGTCCATCCCATCAATATAATATTTTCTAGTGTGGCATCGGTCTTATCGGCCTGACACTTTCCTTGATTGATTTCTCATTTCTTGTTTGGCAGATCCCGGGGCTAAACGAACATAAAGAAATTGGGTTCAGGATCATTTTAATAGTATAAAAAAAAACAGTATACACCATGTCTTCGCAAAGTTATAGCGCTTTAATGAAATTAAATAAATGAAATGAAACAAACTTTATTCAATTAGACTTATTACAAGTACTTTTGATTCGTCAATTTAATGAAAGCGTCAGTGTAGTCAGTCCGTGAGGAAGCCACCGCCGACGAAGCAGTTCTGCTGAGAAGAACTGGCGAGAAACTCAACAGTTGCTGTTTTAAATATAGAGGTTACATTTATTTTATTAACATAAATTTATAGATAGCCTGCATACTCAATATCACTCAATTCCACACATTTTCATCAACAAGAAACTCTTGAACAGTATCAGTATCTCTCGCTTTGCTCAATAAAACATTTTTAATATTATCTTTAAATTTTTAAAAGGTAAATCTAGGACATTTTGTGAAATCTTATTATATATGCGTATACTCAAGCCCATGAAGGATTTATTCACCTTTTTGAGACGAAATCTAGGCGTAACAAGCTTATTTCTATTCCTAGTGTTTATTGTGTGTCTATCACTATTTTTTACATAATTATTTAAATTGTTACGAACGAGTAATATATTACACAATATATATTGTGAGTCAACCGTAAGAATACCATTTTTTTTGAAAATTTAATGTATCCTAGTGGTGTCAGGTCGAAAACGACTGATACGCATTGTCGAAAAGGTCGATGGATGCGCCACCGCACCAGATGAAAATTTGTGTATGTGAGTGCTACAAAGTTCTTATAAGAAAAATAGTATGGTTTTCAAACGAAATTTAACAAATTGTCTGGAACAATCGACCACATAACAAAAATTAAAATTATTGTTTATAAAAAATTCAATGCTCTTGGTATCTTTATCGACCTAAAGAAAGCTTTCGATACAGTTAGTCATGAAATACTTCTAATGAAATTGAAAAGTGTAGATATCACTGCTAATGCTTATAAAATACTTAAAATATATCTTGAAAATCGTCATCAAATAATTAAAATAAAGGAAGATCAGAGTAACCTTCTTTAACTTCATGGAGGGTCCCGCAGCGATTGGTTTTGGGACTTTTTTTGTTCCTTATTTATATTAATATATGTAAATAATAATATACAAGAAATCGGTTTAAATGGAGATATTACACTATGCCGACGATACCAGTCTGTTTTACTTTGGTAAATCTATCGATATTATTATAGAAAAAGCACAAAATGATCTTCATAAAGTTACTGAATCGTTTCAATACAATTTATTAATAATCAATACTAAAATACTAGTTATATAATACTTTCTCATAAAAATAAAAGAATTGATAATGGGGACAAATTTTGGCTTTTTCTCCCGCCAGGTGTCGCGATCACTATGATCCTCAGTATATTATGAAGCTCCAGTTTATTATAAAATTGGCGAAATCACAATTTGTATATTTAAGATTATGTGGACATCATTTTACAGAAAGTGATTTTAAAACTCTTAAATCGTCTACAAGTGTGTTTTTTTTATTTTTTGGACATTTTACATATTGATTACAGAGTTTCATACAAACTTTTATCAATAGTATTTATTTAATGAATTATATTGAAGAACATTAATACCAAGTTTCAAGTATTTCTGATCATAAATAATTCTTTGTTCATATAAACTTTATTGAGGCCTTTTACCTCTTTAAGGGAAGAATTTCGAAAAAAATAATAATAATATGTTTCTTATTTTTCTACAATATCGCCACTTTCTGTGTATTTTAAACTAGCGACTCATCCTCGCTTCGCTCGGGTTCGTCCCTAGCTTGATTCCCCATGCAAATTTTCATCCCCATTTTCACCCCCTTAAGGGATGATGTCCAGGATAAAAGTACCCTATGTCCTTCCCAGGGTCTCAAACTATGTTCTTACCAAATTTCATCTAAATCGGTTCAGTAGATCCAGAGATTACACCCTACAACGTGAAAAACTCACAAAATCACAAATTCTTTATAATATTAGTATAGATTAAGAATGACCGAGTTTCATATGTGATTTGATACCGTTATAATTTTATTATACCGATAAATAAAACAAATATAAAATTATTCTAGAAAAATTAAATGTCTAACAGCTGTGTATTTGTGTGTAAAATGAATTTCTATTTTAATTTAGTTCAATACTCAATTATAATATTCATTGCAGTACTAAAAATAAGTAAAACACTTCAGTTCCACAGGTATCAGCAGTTGATAATAATTTTATCCGTCTGATCGAGTCTCACTCGAAAACGGCTTGACAGGTTTTGATGAGTCTTATAAAGTTATATTATTGCAGAGTTTAGTTTTATGACGTACTACTACTACGTGCTCAAAAATAAATTAGGGCTATGATCATGAAATAACAATAAATAAACACATATGAGCGAAGCCTCGAGCAATTCTTATGTTGGTTTGTCTTCTAGCTTAAAAGCTCGCCAAAGCTCTGAGATAGATACGCTAAGTACGGCATGAAATAGGTCATCAGGAATCACTACTTAAACCACGAATCACGATGATAGAAAAATGCAAGCAAAGATAGAAGTCACAAAAAATATTTTATGTATATCGAAAGAAATTTAGGTAGGTTGTTATATTTTAATTCCATCTGTAATATACTTAATGACGTTATTAATTGTGTTTGTATTAGATAAGATGCGTCCTTGTCTAAAAGTTTATACGACGTTAGCGGTTCATTATTGATAACATGTTAGGTTTTGTACGTAATCAATTAAGTATAATTAGACAAGTGTACCTACATATGTAACATCTATGACGTTACGAAGATAAAATAACTGTGATTATGAAACGTAAGTGAAAATTATTATATTGTTTCGATATAATGATGTTAAAAAAATGTATTTCTATTATTTATGGGTAGGAGGTATAGATATAATTTGGTATATTATATATAAATTCTTATGAACTATAATATAATATTATTTGATGGAATGTGATTTTTTTTATGTACTGGCCTGGCTATGAATATATGATAAACTAAAAGTATTTTGATAAAAACAAGAAAAATAATTTTTCATTTTATTATACCTACGTAGATAGTTTCGGAACATTTAACTAGAATTTGAAGACATTGACTTACCTAAATGTGAAGAAGCAACGTAATACTTATATATTTTTTTCGGAAATATAATTTAATTTATTAACGATATAACTTCTTACTGACAATAATAGCATATCATTTTTAACCAGGATTTATAAAAGTCCGTAAAATAAAACCAACAGTCTACATAGGAATATGTACCTATCTATTTTAAATAGTGGTGACAAACATTAGGTAATAAGTAGCGCCATCTATTATTGTATTTCATTACTATTTAAAATGTCTATTTTATATGAGCCTTTCTAAGTTTTAATGATAAAGTCGTATTCTTTTTTATGGAATTAATCAGGGAAATAGATATTTAATGAATAAAGATATTATTAAAAATATTTAAAGCCACTATAAATTAAGGAAAACCATAACATGATAATTATAATCACACAAGTTGGTTAAAAGTTACGCTTATTGTTTGCTCATAAATATATTGTTTAAAATTCACTTATGTTATCATTTATTTAGCATTAATCTTGAAGATATACGTAGCCTTCAAAACGAACTTTGACTAAAAAAATAGTGATAGTGATAATACAGCTTTATGATAGCTAATATAAAATTATTTTATTTTAATTATAAAGGTTGTCTCTAAAGGTACGTGATAGAATTGATAATACCACTATATTAGCAGAGGGACCTAATTTTTTGAGATATTTTGTTTGACTTAAAAGGACGATACACAGCGCAAACCCGAAAGCAGTCGACATATTTGTTTTTACAAACACCTGTGTGGTAATTAAATTCAAATTCACGTAATAAACGTAAACGTATATACTTTAATTTTCAAACATTATTATTTTGTTATTATTTCTTATATACATCAACAACAAACTATTGATACATCATAAAGTTATGTTACGCCATCTTTAAAAATCTATTTTAATTTTTTTTTCTATTTGATTAGACAATGGTAACAAGTTTAAGTACGTGCAAACACCAAGCGTCAATCGGAACGTCTTTGTCGGAAACATTTTACAATCAAACAAGTTCTTTAATCATAGGCACCAAAATTATAAATATTTTTATACTTTATATTTTTTATACAATATAAATCTTCTTCTTGTTGCTTAATCAAATATTAGGTACCTATGCATTTATTTTTTAACGTAATAATAACTGTCAGACGTAATGTGACAGTGACAGGAGTTGTGCGATTTGTAATAATCACAAGTTTTTTCCCTCTTTTCTATAATTTAACATTATTTACAGTGCTTTAATCATTAATTCTTATCAAAATAACTTAATTTTATGTTTCAAAATCATAACAAGTAACGAGCATAAGCTAAATTTGTTTTCTGTTTAGGTTATTTTAAATAAAAACATTGTGTAAATGATTGTGTTTAGAATTATAAAACGAAACAAGGACGTTGTGGAAATAAGCAAAGTTAATTACATGTATATTATAAAATTGCAGGTGATGAATTAGTTCAGTGCGTGCCAACTAAGAAGGGTCATCATATTTTATACAAGGGATATACTTACGTGTTTAAAACTAGGCTTCAGTGCGGTGCGGAACAATGGTGCTGCTCTTACCGACAGAAGACTGGATGTATATCCATCATAAATATGCAAACATATGGTGTTGAAGTAGTGAGAGATTTCCATAACCACAAAAAACCAATGTTTTCAGATTAGGACTAATTTGTTTATTGTTTTGGTTGAGTTTTCCAAAGATTATATTCCTTGTAAAGCTTCCTTTAAACAAGATTTTTATTGATACACAATTTCTTTTTATTATTAGATTATAGAAATTGAGAATGTACCTGTACCTATTTATTCACTTTAATTAAGAACACAATATATTATACACTTTGGATTAAGAACGAAAATTGCATATATTTTGAATTAAATTGAAATTTTAGATATTTAAAGTATATATAACAATCTGTACATTTATAAAAAAGAAATTTGTTTTTAAGATTATGAAAATAATCTCTACTTTCATTTTGTAAAGAATATCTTAATAAATTTGTTTGATAAAAACTTGTTATTTTATGTCATATTATGTACATTATTTGTTTTTAATTTTATATTTGTTTGAAAATAATATCAATTATACATTGTAAAATTATTTCATTGTTTGAAATAAATCTTTAAAATTTATCATGGTTATAATTATAATAAAACATTATAATTTTATTTCACAACAGTAAGGTAAACAATATTCATTAATAAATTGAAAATGAAATGTTATCATGCACAGAATTTAACTTTCTTTCAGTTTTAAATCCAATATTTATGTATGGAATAAATGTCTATGCAATCAAATATGTTTATTATTTCAATAATCGTCATCACAATATGATATTACATTTCTTATATACTATAATTTATTAAAGGATACATATATATCTTGGACAAATACACATGTTATTTTTTTTCAGAAATTGCACCAGAATGGCTGGCGATATATTATGTGAAGACAACTGATGACAAACACTACAAATGTAATATATGCGAAGGCATAATAATTTCTGATGAAAAATCAAAAGAATTGCTCGACCACATAGTAATGTCTCACAAAGAAGTTTATGAACTTCATAAAGATAATCCTGAATCAAGTGTTGGCTTTCAAATTGAGTATTTACAATTTAGCATGTTGAAGGACGATAAAAGTCAACCTGTGATATTAGAAGAGGTGTGCGAGGAAGCAGCCACAAATGAAATTATAAAATCGGAAGAGAAAGAACATAAGGATAGTGTGGACATGCAATATGTGTTGGTGCCTCGCAAGAAAAAGTTAAAGAGAAAATATGGTAAGATTTTTTCATGTTTTTATACTAGCAATTTATGTAGATTTTACGCTGCTCCTTTATTATAGTAATATGTATTCAGCCCTTTTTAATGTCCCTCTGCTGGGCGCGGGCCTCCCTTCAGTACGAGGGGGATCAGGCCATAGTTCACCACACTGGCCAAGTGCAGGTTGGCGGACTTCACATGTCTTTCGAAAACTTACTAGGTTCTCTCAGACATGCAGGTTTCCTCACCATGTTTTCAGTAATATGGTTGCATTAAAATTACATTATTTTCATCATTCTGGACCAAGTTCAAAAAAAAGGAAAATCTCAATTCACTCAAAAAAGCACCTATAAGAGTGGAATGTATGATTTTAAATTAATTTTAAAGTCAGTATTTTTTTACTAAAAAAAACAGCTCATATTTCAAATACAAGAAGTGATTATAATGTATAATTTTTGTATTCTTTGCAGAATTTAGTCGTAAACGCAGTTGGGTATGGAAATATTTTGAGAAGCTCACAAGCATTATCTATAGATGCAATCTTTGCAATGTAGTGCTTTCTATAAAAGGATGTAACACCAACAATATGAACCGACATGTGAGGACACGTCACCCAAATGTATATAAAACCGAAGTGGAAAAAAAGAAAGATATTAGTGAAGAACATGTAGAAGTACCGTGGAAGATTGAAGAGGAGAGTGATAAGGATTCTGGCGAATCGGTTGGTAAGTGTTTTTATAATTATTATATTTAATAAAGTTGTCATACCACAGATGATTCAATCATAAAATTGTCTAAGTGTCATACATTCAAATGAAAAATTTGAACCATAGCCACTATGTATCTGCTTTCTGTTTATTGCAGACTATTCTCTTTTTTCCTATTTTGAAATTTTATCAGACAACAAATTTTAATGCTTGACATGTTTTTTATGTAGAGGTGATTAAATAATGGAAGTACCTATAGCATAAAAAATCCATTTTGAGAAGACATATTTTACCACTGTATTAACAAAAATATTATTTATTGAATATATTTTTGAATAATTAAATAACAAAATTAATTAATTAATATAAGTTATAATTTTTAATTGAGCGTGATGGGGATTTAATGTAATAATAGTATTATTAGTACTATTATTACATCAAATCCCCATAACGCTCAATCAAAAACTATTTTTGAGGAAACGCTAGGTCTCGTCTCATATACTAGTGCCATTGATTTCTCATACAAACATTAAGTAAAGTAAATATGATTGTATTGAAATTTGAGTAAAAATATAAGCAATTAATAGCCGTATTAAACAAAAACAATATTGATAAAAAAACCGACGAATTGAGAACCTCCTCCTTTTTGGAAGTCGGTTAAAAATGATCTCGATATCAGTTACGTCTATCAATGTGTCATACATATTTTTAAACTATTAAATATTTATAGTGCATATGAGGCAGTGGTAGCCCAGTGGTAACGCGCTTGCTTGGGAAACCGAGTGAAGCGAGTTCAAATCCCGGGTCTCGCACCTCTGATATTTTCATGTGCCAATCATTTCCAACATGATTACCACTTGTCTTAACGGTGAAGGAAAACATCGTGAGGAAACCTGCATGTCTGAGAGAACCTAGCAAGTTTTCAAAAGACATGTGAAGTCTGCCAACCCGCACTTGGCCAGCGTGATGGACTATGGCCTAATACCCCTCGTACCGAGGCCCGTGCCCAGCAGTGGGACGTTAAAAAGGGCTGAATACAATATATTTATATAAAATACACACACATTAACTTTAGCTTTTTGAAATTTGAAGTGAAACTTTTTTAGAATCGTTGAGAATTGAAACTCGATGAAATGCAAATGCAACACTAAAAAGAGACAAACACATAAATATAGGATAAGCCGGCGAGAGAATGAAATAGAATTCATTGTCCTGTTACCATGGTAACCGTAGTTATTTGAGATAGAATACATATTGCACAGGAAGTGAAAAATAATAAAATTAATTACTGAACAATATGTAATATAATATTCATGTCAAATAAAATGTAAAATAACTTTTAAAGTTAAGTACATAAAATATTATAAAACAAATAAACCTATAATTATCCTACTCCTGATATTCTATGTATATTCATCTCATTCTCTTCTAGGTTGCTTTTCTGAAGTTTCACTTCTTACGTGTGTGAATTGCACACACACGCATTTTTTTTTAATGATTGGGTGATATGGTGATGGGGATGGGGGTGGGATGATTGGGTTATATAATATAGATTCAGAGAGAGTGAGATCCGCGCGATCGTTCGTGAGAGCATGACTTTCACGTCGCGTCTATGTTAGATAAAATATCGTTATATTCTTAAGTTTACATAAGCGTAATCAAAAAATAGTCCTAAGTACGTGTATATTGTAACTCATTGTGGTGTCATTATTACGTGTAATCACGTCACGAAATATGGTTGCTTTTGGATAAAATTGAATCAGTGTTAGTGTTTGTGTAACATACGTAGTGACATTGGTTTAGAACGAAAAGGTCATTACATCTAAGGAGTACATATTAAAAAACCTGTTCTACTGTTTTTGCACTGTGTCGTTAGACCATAATGAATGGACCTATCAGTGGTAACGACACTGCGTTAGAGTGCACAAAGTGAGAAGTTCTAAGATCAAATCCAAGTCACTCTGCCAGATATTTTTTTTTCTCTTTTTTTTCGGTTTTAATATAAAAAAAAAATATTGTCACTAGTATAGTGCCAGTTCTTTGGATAATTGGAAGAATAAAAATAATATAAAAATGAATATTCTAACGCCACTACGAGGGACTCCTCTAAAACTTCTAAAACTCAAGTCCCTCAATTACGGCAGGGACAGTCACTATCTGAATCGGCATCTTATGTATCCCCAGTGCAAAATAGAACAGAGGAAATAAATTGAGTTCAAATGTGACACTAAGAGGCAAGCGCCACGGCTTGAAGACTCCGCCCAATACAGAAACAAACGAAATTTCTCGACATCTTTTGTGATTTCAAAAAAGAAGTTAATGGAAACTTGCTCACATTCATGGAAGAATGAACAGATCTCTGCTGTTCGCTGGGAATAGTTAGGGACGTTGGGTGACCTAAAAACCCAATGCGCTCCAAATTCAACAATCATAACTCTGAAAATAGATCAAGAGCCTCACATTCATGAGACGAATCATATGAGGAATATAAAAAACAAACTAACTGGAATAGAAATGCGAAGAAAGAGAGTGAAGACCGTGGTCGCTCAACTTGAAATGGCTGAATTTCCCAAGATTTTCAACTTCAATCCCGCGAACAGCTACCAGTTCCCGAACTGAGAATGTTCCCATAAAACCTAAGAGACTACTGAAGATATCTTTTCCACTCTATCAGAAGTTTGGCAACGTTTATAAATGTTTGAAGTACAAATCGCAAAGACAGTACGTGATGTTTATCGACTAACCTAGGCCAAATTCGGAATACCCAGACCAATTGTAGGCAGAATTTTATTCTGTTAAGAAAAAAAAAAAAAAACGGAATTTTTAACGCAACGTTTCGGCGCGTTCAATAAACCATCGTCCTTTGCACACAAATTGCGAATCACAAAAACGATTGGCATGGCTGGAGACAAGAAACCTCAATTTTATGTTGAATGAACATCGCTTGCCATCCAAGAAAAAACTTTTCTTTGATGCTCGCTTCGCTTTGCGAAATCTAATAATTTCCACTTGTTGGAGGTTCCGAATGGAAGGATTTTCTTACGTAAAGATACTAAAGGACATCCACAATGATAAACCCACTCAAATAAAAACCGATAAATGTTTTACTTGCATTGGTTAAAAAACAATGACTAGAATTCGTTTTCCCTTCTTGTTTGATTTTGATTTTTACTGTAAATTTCAATATGTATAAATTTATATTCAGTTCTCAATTTACTTATGATATATTTGTTCTATAAAACCTAAACTTTTGCATCTCTTACCTAATTATTATTTTCTACATTAATAAGCAATTTACTGCACCCTATCTAACAGCCTACACTGTTCTTAATTACTTATACACAATATGGCTTACTACCATCAAATGTACATCACTTATTGCACTTCTACAACAAACTTTTTCTTCCTGGGTTTTTTTTTTTTCTTTCACCTTATCTGCCATAGCCCGAAGTATATTTCGAGAAGTTCTGCGTGAGCACTTTTGCCTTTTTCCTTGTACAACCTTCAAGACATCCTATGTCTGTAAGTTTGGCTACTTACGCTTTGCACCTTGTTAAAAATGACTAGTACTAACAATACAATACATGACCTTGACCAACATCTCACTTGCCTCTGAACTCTTCTTATAAATGCCCCACCAGGATAGATGTTCAGAATTTATTTTCTAATCCTCTATGAAAATTTAAAAATTATATTTACATAAATATCGAAGTAATCAATAAGAATTGAACCAATTGTATTTCCATGTTATCCATGACAACTAAAAAATGATTTTGATATAATTGGTCCCTGACAGAATGCTGGCTTGAAAGTTTCGGGTCCTACACCTACATTACAAGGCTACACTTGTCACGTCCACACTAAATAAATAATACCCAAAAAGATGGAGTAGTAACCACTTATACAAAAACATCATTGCAAATGCCAAGTCTATACGAACCAGTATATAATCGTGACGCACGCAACTGCTTAGTATGTACAGTGGATAATATTGCAGTAATCTGTATTTATCGCTCTCTCATCCTATCAACCTAGACCTTTTCTATAAGTGACTTAAGCAGCCTAACAAATAACCCTTTGATAGATTCCAAAAATCTAATATTATAGGAGACATTAATATCGACACCTAAAAGAAAATAATCACGACCGTCGCATCAAACGACTATACCTAACTCTTTACTGCTACATTTGGGTTTGCTTCCAGCTCACGCTACTATCTACGCGGTCCTGAAAATTGTCTACATCATATTTTACTGAAAACAAAAACCAGCAACTGTCATAGGCCCTTGATACTCACATAAACTTGACCATTTAAACCCATAATTTTTGTGCTAAACGCTAAACAAAGGCATTTGTTTGATACAGCGATCGAATAATTACAATCTTTACGATATAATTATCGCTGACTATTAAACAGGACATAGAACAAAACGGATTTTCATAGGCCTATTTTGTTAAGAAATGAATCCTAATATATCCGCAGATCTACTTATTAGGATACTATCCCAGCAGTTTATAGGTAATAATACTCAAATTTTAGCGTATAAACAACAAAACTCTAATTATAACGCCCTGGATGACCAAATGGATTTAGATGCATACGAAACCGAGACAAAAATGCACAAACATGTTAAAAGAAAACCCTGATAATTATAGTACTCATAACAAGCCTTATAGCTTTCGAAAATTTGCCCTTATCATCTAACTACAAAAAATTGAAAAGAAAACATGACCAAATAGAGGTTTACAGAAATCCAAATATAGCCCGTAGGCTACTGGAATGTCGTTAAGACAAGTGCAAATTGTAGTTCCAGAAAAAAAAAAACATTCTAGGGCCCCTATTGAACTTCTTCAAACTAAGCACCTGAGCCTAAAACATCGATTAATAAGGGTCAACAGTTATTTTTTGTCAACGTAGGAAAACTACTAGCAAGTCCAAGTCTCGCAACAAGAGCCAAAGGCAATCTAAGTACGATATGGCAACTTTGGATATTACTTTGCCATTCCCTTGGTTTATTGCCAGTGGATGTTAATGACATTGAACCAAATTATTAGCTCCCTGCGCAGATGACTTGTGCTAAATGGTTATGAAATAAATTCGCCGCTAAAATATTAAAGCGAATCATATTCGTCCATTAGGCCAATTCCTCTTCGACACATTTGGCATCGTGCCCATTGAGACTGGAAACTTTTGAGCCAAACTTCCCTTCAAATAAAACTGTCGTACAACCAGTTTTTTAAGAGTGGGGATAGATTTGATATTGCGAATTACCGACCAATTTCAATTCCTAACCTCTCTTTCTAAAGTTCTTGAAAGGTAATACTAAATTATAGCCTCGTTGCTTATCTCAACAAAAATATAACATTATTGCTACTAACCAAATGTGTTCAGGGCGGGTATATATCGAGCGGAAGAGGCTGTCCATATGATTTTAACTAAAACTATCGTCCGATAAACCTAGTACCGAAAACACAAATTTTATGGCATATTTCTCGATTTAACTAAGGGCCTTTGTACACTGTCCTCTATCCGCTTTTATTAATATCGAAAGAAAAGATGGAAAGGGTTCTGGAATTCGAAGGAATCGCATTGAAAATTTTTTTTAGGCGATTTATCTCACAATCGTAACCCAACATGTGAAAATTTTGATAACCACAATCGTGACGGACGCAAACATCCGCTTCGGGTGTACCTAAGGGTAGGCATTGCTTTGGCCCGACGCTGTTACTTAATAATATTAAACGATTTATGCCAACTGCAAATTCCAAAGTGTGATATATTTACATATGCTGATGACACTGCTCTCATTGTTTATGACTCAAACCTGTAAATGAAGCACAATTTAAGATACAGAACAGGCGCTGCACCAAGTAATTGAATGGCTTTCTAATAATTTGTTAACCCTAAATTTAACTAAGAACCCACACTCATCCGCTTTACTTTGCCTAGCAATTACGGCCGCCTCAAGAATCTGGACTTATTAAAGCACACACTTGCCTTGGGAAACCAAAATATGAACTGTTTGCTGCGTCTCATCCCTTGGCAATTGGTGTCGGATGACTACTTATCCTAGGTATTTCGTAATTGACGCTTAAGATGAACTGGCAAAAACAATTATTTGAAAACTCTGTGTTTCAATTACTAAGGAAATTTAATCTATTTTTTAAGGAACTGAGACATTCAACCGATGCTGAAACTTCTAAGCTCGTGTACAAGTGTTTATGCCATTCTTTAATCATATACTGCATCCCCGCTGTGGGGTGGAACTCATCAAAACTTCCATGTCTGGCATTAAAAAGAGCGCAAATGGGCTATGTCGTAAAAGTCCATGTAACTTTAAGAAAGAGATTTTCTCTAACTGCTCCAACTATATCTTGAAACCCAAGTGTTTGACAGTTAGACAGCTGTACATTCTTCGCTGTATATTGCGAAGACACAGCGCGAGACACCATTCGATAGAAACAAAGTTAAGAAGGCGCCAATGTTTACCTGTATCCGAACCTGTTCTATGTCATACTTGCCCTAGCTCGTCGTCAGTTTGTTGGCAGCAAGCCTATGTTATATAATAAGTTAAATAAAATAATATTCATATATTCTGCTTCTTTCCAAATTTAGTGGTCAAAATAAAAGTGTCTCCAAATGGTTGCCAAAAAGTTTATCGTATGAATGAGACTGAAGCTCTTTTTAACAACTTCCGTCATAATATCTTGGTATATTCTATATAAGATATTATGAGCGATGAGATACATATATATATATAATATATATATATATCATATATATATGTCTGGTGTGTATATATGTATATGGGTATTATTATGTAATATATCTATATATATATAATATAATATATTGATATATTCTAATGTATAATAAAAGCTTTTTCTTTTATCCAAATATGATGCATATTTTATAATATAAGTTGTTGATATTTGTTTTGAAAGCAACTCGCATGACACATAAATAGTTTGTAAATTCAATTGTGAAAGGCGGAACGACTATCACCTAAACATTACAGCTCTGGCTTTAGTTTCCGGAGGAGAATAGTATTTTTAACTTATTTTTTGCCACTTTTTGTACAACTTGCTTTACTTACTTTAACCCCTTATATTGTCACTTTATATATAGTACAATAAATAAATTATTATTATTATAGATAATTGGATAGTCGTTTCACTTAAATTCTAAGAAAAAACCACAAAAGAATGGATTTTTAAAGTCTTTTTAATGTTTTCGTAGATATAATAAAGCAGCGTCGTAGTTGGGTCTGGTCGTACTTCAAGCGGGTGACGAGTACACTTGCTCAATGCACCCTGTGCAATAGGAACATTTGTCATGGAGGCAACGCCACCGGGAATATGAATCGACATCTCAAAATGATACACAACAAGACGGCTGGTGAGTTTTTTATATTTTTTTAGTTTTTTTTTAATTTTTAGTTCCTTTATTTCTTTTTGTAAAGTTTTTTATTTTTATTTTATTTTATATATAACACAAGATTAGACACACGTTCTAAATATTTAAATATAAATTAATCAAGGAAATAAAATAAGAATTCAAACAAAAAAATAGAAACCAGTCCTGTAGACCTTGCAGTACATCTACTTTTACGCTAGCTGTAGTATTTTTAAATTACCAATGACAAAATGAAAACGCACTCTTTATAAGACCAAATCACACGAACGGATGTAGAATCTTGACGTTTCGTAAAATAATATAATAATTTAATGTTGAATAAAATGTTTGAAATTTGAATACAATGGGAGTTCAATCTATCTTTATATATCTTCTTTTTTCTTATGAATCTTTTAAATGGTTTTAAATAAAATTAAATAATTTTGATACATCATACAATTCATAAAAAGTTCATTTTTCTTAACTTCTTGAAAATAGTCTCACAGTATTTTTTTATGAAAATATGTTCAATGTACAATAAATGCATGGATTTAAGGTAAATGCTAGGAAATTTTATTAAAAAATCAGACATGATATAATTATACAGCAAAATGCGATAAAAAATTAAAGTTATTTGTGTTTTTACATACAATTGTAGGTTTTATATGGTTAACTATTTTCAGATGACAATAACTGGGTGTGGAAAGTATTTGAGAATACCGAAGACGATTTCTTTACTTGTAAAATATGTCAATACAAATGTATGAAATTTGATGATGTTGAGAAAAGTATTAAGTCTATATTACACCATCTTAAAAATGAACATGGCGTAATTTCGGGTGACCAAATTATTACTGGGGCAGAATTAGATATAGATAGTACTGAGTAATGTTTGTTTGTGCGGGGTAATAGGTTCAAGGTCCGCGTAGGGCTATTTTTTTATAATCATCACATTTGATTTAATATAGGTCCTATATTTAGAGTGCTTTGATTGAGAGCTGTCATTATGTTCTCTCCACTCTAAAGTAAGTGTGACCATTTTTTATATAAAGATGGCGTTCAAATTATTTTTATTCAAAGGCTACATTTTATAAGTGACCGATTTCATATTCTTTATAATTTTTAAATTATAATTTAAAGTGTCATTTAGTCAATTTTAGTAAATATATTGTGCGTTTGGTAGAAAAAGCGCTCTACAGCTCTACAAATGAACGAACTTTTGATTTTTGTTGCTTGATAATTTCTGCAGCGCTAATATTGTTTCGGCCATTTAGCTTAGCTTACCGACAATAGCACCTACATTTTGAAATATTCTATATATTATATAATAATAACATATTTTTCCCAACTGACGTTTTTTCGCTTTCGATATATATTTTTTTTACTAACATAATAAATGATTAACATAAAGTATAAAGTATTAGATCATAATACCTGGTGTTTTATGAATGTTTGTTTCACAAAAATAAATTATAATACAATAAGGTGAATTGCTTATAAAAGATGTTGCTTTGAATAAAAGTAATTTTAACGCCATCTTTATATAAATACAGTAGTATAGTACCTACTGGATAGGACCTGGTTCTGTATACCCAAAACGTTTGGTTCTCATATTCACTAATGTAGAAAATAAGGCATTATATTTTACTTATGTTTTAATCTTAATAGTGTAATAATTTATTATTTTAGATTTGAAGGGACCCAGTCGGTAGTTAGGTTATGGTTTACGAGTCGATCAAAATTTGTTGACATTTAAAAAAAATACGGTCTAGCCTTTTTTGCTATACAAATTTGTATAGCTTTATTTAGTGTTATTTTTATCTTATAGGGTTACCATATAATAATGTTTAATTTTGCCTAAATTTTGGAGTTATAATTATAAACCGTGTACTTTTTGTTTCATTTTTGGTATATGTAGCGAAAATATTTATATATTTATAATATTATTATATGCAAATAATTAATGATTATTGGCGGAACTTTTATCAGAAATATTTTTCAACAAAAAAATGAAATATAATATGGTCACTCTACATACTTTTAAGCTTAGTATTGGTTGGTATCGGTAAGAATCGTTTTATTTAGATTTATTTTGATTTTACAATCTGCGTGTTTGTTGTGTAAGATCCTGTATATTGTACGTGCAATAACAAGTGTTCATACTTTCTGGGCACATAGGGGTTTGAAAAATAAAATTAATTTAAGTTTGAATAGTTTTATTTTTATTATAATATCAGTACAAAACCACATTGTTGTTTAGAAAATATGGCGTCGTAAGTTTAACTAACTTATAAAATATTATAATCATAAGCTCTATTTTGTTGGGCGTTAGTAAAATCCTTATTAAATGAAGATACTATTATTTTAATATATAATGGTTTTCCGGGTTTCAATCAGATAAAAGATCATATTTCCGGACGATTTTCCAATTATATAAAAAAAAACAATAAAAATGTCTCATGGAATAAAAAGTAAGTTTTATTTTTGCATCTTTTAAACATGAATTCAATATAATAAAAATTTAAGTCAGGATCAGCATTAAAATAGTCATATCCACATGATTTGACAAAATTACTAATTAGTAGATAGATTTTAATTGTTTTTGTGTTTATATTTTAATAATAAATATTTAAAAAATGCCCATTTTCTATAAAACATATTTAAGTTAGGCCACTTTTGCTTTAAGCTTAAAATATTAGAAAGTGTGTGTTAAAAGTTTGGTAAATAAAAGTATTTTCAAGTTTGACTAGTTTTATTCTTAAAACATCAATTACACAAAGATATCATAATTTGGCAATATCATCGATCACTACCGGTAACTTATATTACACACAACCACAAGGAGACGTTTGAAGTGTTTTAGAGGTAGAGAGGTTTTACAATTTAGTTTTACAATATATCGTACATTTCATTAAAACGCCACATTTGGTATTGTGCCACTTCTACGTTTTAAACATGACATGAATGTTATTTAAATATACTACATATACAAATCTGTTGTTTTTATATAGTACCTATTAATTAATATTAAATTAAAATATTCTGATGATTAAATGAATTCTGAATGGCACAGTTATAATACAAATATTATACTATAAAAATTATTAGAAGTTGTAAACGGGAAATATCCCGTTCAAAGATTTTTTTCTATGAAAAGTACGATATATTAGTACTTGGTAACAATATCACTACGATTAAAATACTGTTTTTAATATTTACAATATTTGTTCCAATACATTAGTTACTTCGTAAGTTAACCTAAGATCGTGCAACACAGTTTTGCTATACATATATCGCTGTCTTGGGTCAACTAACTTGGCGTATAATATACATTAGTTTATGCCAAAAATGTAGGTATCCTTTAAAATTTTAACAATATATCTCCTTTATTACTTATAAATATGTATTTGCATATAAAGTAAAAATATTATATTACAAGTACTTATATTCGTAAACAAATATTCATAACTTGAGTTATGTCAAACGTAAAATAATAAAATGAAATTATAATCATTTTTGGTTTTATTTCTGACTACAATTGCCGATATGTAAATAAAAAAATGACCTAAATAATATTAAGTAAATTCAAAATATTGTGTTTTATTGTTATTGTTTTATTGTTGTTAACTGTCACGCATATTTTTGAATTTAATATCAATATTGTTCTTAAAGTTTTCATTTCTTACAAATAAATTAATATATAAAATACATATCATTACGAAAAATAATATAACGTATGTAAGTAATAAGAGATGTACTATCAAAAAGGGTATTTGCGTCTATTTTTATTTTATGTCATCGATATTAATTTAAATATTTTTCTCAGCGGAAGTAATAACTATGGTGAATGGGAGGCAAATGGTTCTTCTTGACGGTTATACATATTATAAGAAAAATAGATGTGGAAAATACTTCAAATGGGCCTGCACGACATCCGCAAGCTGCAAAGGAAATCTTAAAATTGATGAAAATCTGGTAATAAGAATGAGTAGCCCGATTCACTCTCATCCCAAAAAGAAACTGTTGAAGACAAGTTCTGGGCGATACATCAAATTGTAAGGTCAGCAAGTAAATTAAAAAATATCTTGTAAAAAAATACACTTTTTAAAAAAAAATTTAAGCTGTTATACAATAAGTGAGTTAATAATGATTTGTATAAGTGCATGTTCTTTCATTTACCTCTCAATTCCCTTCTAGATTTTTGGCAATTTTTGTTAGATTTCATATTATACATCAATAACTATTCAATTTCCGCTTCAGATATGTATTTGAAATTATCACAATTATAATTTGCATGTTCCGTTAAGCAAATCTTCCTACCAAAAGTTTTTTAAACAAAAATCGTTACCTATACAGAGCTAAAATTTACAGATCTTATGATATTGCTTTAATGAAAACAGCAAAAATTCAAACATTTGCTAAACAAAAAATTAAAATAGTAATTTTTCCAGGCATTTTCATACCGACGAAGAATATGAAGCAACGTTTCTTTTATGGGGGTCATTTGTACTATAGTAAAAACCGGAGTTTGAGGTGGAATTGTACTAGTTATCCAAAATGTAAGGCTTATATAATATTTCATAACGATAAAGTGGTCCATACGTATGCGGAACATTGCCATGCGGCCAGAGAGTTGGTTCAAAACGAAGATGGCTCGTACAGATGTGATAGAATGCGATCCGACCTCTACCTACCAGAATATAGTCTTTTAATTGAAAGAAAATGAATAAAATATTAAAACATTTTTTGTTCTTTATTTTTGAATTATCCAAAAAAAAATAGTTTGACGTTTTTATAGCAATTTAAAGTTAGACATCGCAAGATTCAAGGCTCTTGTTATTTCATGGAAATGAATTTGATCTTAAGCGAATGCTATAACGCTGTTGCAATGTTAAATGGGGTTAATTTAATGTTGCGAAGTAATATGTTTAAAGAAATTCAAAAACGTTTTCGACTTATTAATAAAAATGGATAAACTCTATATTCCCAGGTAAAAATAGAACCTTTCTAACGGGTAAGTTAAGTTTACGATTATCATATATCAATTTTGCTATGATAAAACCTATACCACGTCCTTAATAACTAGATTACCTATATATTATTTCTATTTAAAAATAAATATTTAACCATTAAAATATACATTTCCTAAACCATTTTTAGTACATAATATTATATTAAATTGTATCGCTTGGCAGATCAAGCGCACCCTGTATTTGATCCTACTGCTTCGTACTTTGTATTGAAGTAATAAATATATATAAAAGGTATTCTGTGCTTTTTTATAATTAAATGTGTTTAAATAAGATATAAAATATATTTTAGTGTATAAAGTGCCCCTAAAAGTGCTTAGAAAATACTATAATTAAATGTACATAATACCTACAATTTAAATATTTTTCATAAAAAATGTTGTTTATTTCTTCATAATACTTTCCTATATATCTTTAACATTTATATAAACAAAAAAATATTATTTAAATAGCGGTATGTTATTTTAATTATAAAAACACTTTTCCTATAAGCTGCTTTGACAATTATTTCATACCAAAAAACTGAGGGCGAAAAGTTTCTACAAAAATGATATAAAAAACAAACATATATTTTTATAATAAATTAAAACATTTCTTTTTAAATATATTAAAATTATAACAATAACATGTAAAAATTAAAAAAATTACATCAATAGGTATACATTATTAAATGTTAATTAATTATCGATAAATAATAGGCATTTAGTTGATATTTTTGTAATTCGTAATAACCAAATAAATACATGTACATATATATGTATACTACAGACAGACAAAAATTCTAAAAATTATAGATTCGGACTCTGTTTCGATAATAATGTCTATTTTAATTATATTTTCCAAAAAATATTTAATGTTCAGATTCGACTTAGTTACAATTTTATTATATGTATAGATGTATATTAATACTACCAATGTTTTATTTTAGAAAACGACTTTTGTACTGTTATATATAATTAAAAAACAAAATATCATTCTAAAATTACAGCGAAAATGACAATCGAAATTGAAGATTGTAAGTACACAAAAATTTAAGTTTTCCATTTTAAAATTTAAAAAAAATTCCATGTTATTTACACGGTTTTAATACGGTAAAATTATAAAATCTAAAATAACGTAAATCTAACGTATTTGGACTGGCAAACCGCAAAATAATATACTTTAACTAGTCACATTTTAGTCAGAATAAAGTCTAGATGAAAGTATTATAATAGAGTAGGTATTAGGTAATTAGAAGTTTGAAAACCAATCTCTAGGATTTATTATTATTTATCAACGCCAATATATAAGATGAGTTTTGGTAATACTTTTGTTATTGCTATGTAGTGAACGAGCCATTCACGTAGTGAGACAAAAAATATTTCTATCTCTTTTCTGATCACTCTTTCTATTGTGCGTATGCATTTTGATATTAGTAGGGATTAACCATAGTCATGGACTAGTCTGAGTATTTCTTTGTCAGCCGTCAGCAAAAATGGCGTAAAGGCGCCACAAAGACAAAATACGATAATGAGAAAATACGGTATTAATTGATATACAATTAATGTAAAAAGATATTTATAACCATTTTTAATAAACTATAATATTATTATTTCTTACATTTCATTTATAAAGTCAAATTGGTAAAAAAGACAAGTATTGGCCGCACGTTCACTTTGTCTCTTTCTAGAGAGTGGTCAATTTCATGACAGTATTGCTCAGTCCATTGTCTTGGTCTATGACTTTATAAAATTATTATTATATATATATATATATTTCATTCTTCTATTACAATTGTCATTTTGCAGTAGAATTTTTAGAAAACAACATCTAAAGCTAGAGTATGTTGTTTAAAATATATATTCTATATATCTAAATTATGTACAATCTTAGCCATATCATGGTTTGATCGGCTTTGTGAATTGTTATACAAGACACAAATATGTACATAGAATTAGAATTTATCATGAATAGGAGCCTAAAACAAAAATTATTTAAACGATGAATAAACACTTTTTTATTCTGATATATATCTATATGCCCTAACTTTAATTAAAACTGTTTCATTCATAGTATGTATATATGAGCTCTGATAATTGAAAGCACTAATTGTGGAAATTAAGAACATAAAATTTGGATTTTGTTTTAGACTCCTGAGTATACTTATAAAGCTAGTATCCTTTAACTAGGGGGTTTAGGACCACAGTTATGTGCGCTTTGTATATAAACTATGCGACCTCTATACGTGTGCAAAGCAGCTTTACACCACGGCCCTCTTGAACAGCGCCATCGTATTTTACCATTTCGCGCACAGCCGTTAAATCTGAACCTGTATCCTCCTACATTGATCCCCATCTTGCCTTGTTTACTTAGACAGTATGAAGCAAAACAATCGATGCCAGTGCCGATCAAACCAACTGAAATTTAATTTATATTTGAATAATCTGTATATATAGCTAATGTAAATTATACACTACTTTCACTTTGAATGATAATAATAAATGCTCTTTCTTATATTATATCTTAGAATAATGATTTTTATATTTAGATTGAACTTATTGTTATTTATCGGTCGGCTTTCAAAAGCTCAAAAAATCGACTGATAAAATGCGTGGTTTGTAGAAAAGAAGGGATTTAAATAAAATAATATCATATTGAAAAGTCTTTATTTTATTTATAATTTATTTTACATAACAAAATTACTTAGCTTAAACGTAAGATTGACAAAATGGCACTTAGAACGGTAATAAAACTTATTTTTTTCTTACAGTTCGCTTTGGTCTTTCAAACAGAGGGCACTTGGTGGTACATGTTGGTCCACACAAGTTTATAAAGCACGAGTGTTACAGGAAGAAGATTAGATGGACGTGTAACAAACGTATACAATTTGGATGTAGAGCTAGCCTGACTACCCATGATAGCGTTATTGTGAGATCGTTCTTGGAACATAATCATTGAAATAAGCACAATGATTATTTTTTATATATTTTCATATTTACACATATCTCTAAGCGATGCCACTTTTTTACTTCCATATGTGTATATGAGGAGTGCTGAGCATGTTTAACGAAGAGCCATCTTGTCTAAACTGAATAAATACCTGTTTTAAAATACAATCATTGAGGTACACGTAGACTTAGTTTTGGAATTTTGGAGTTTGTTTTGAATAAGAATTATTAAATTAAAAGATTAACGTTAAAGGATTGATGGTATTAAATTGAGATGTATATTTTATGTAAATCGTGATTTTTTTATAAGTTTTAAAATGTCAACTTTAGAGGCGGGATAATTTTATTTTCAAAATGATTTGGTAGAAAAGTGGTTATTTTTTTTTTCATTTGTATATTATTAGTATTATCAAACATAGGATTGTTTACATTCGGTTACGACATAACGCGAAGGGAGCATTGCGCAAGGTATCACATATTCAATTTACTAATATTATATCATAGCAATATATATATATCGCATAAGTTGTGGACAATCTCACCATAAATATAAAAGTGAAGCGATGTTACTATATAAATACATAGATATAATATATTGACTCAGAGAAACTTCGTTTGTGTGTTTCTTATTCTTTATAGAATTCGAAATGTTATGTTTTTTACACTTAAGAATGTTTGAAATTATATTCGTGTGGATTTTCTATAACAATTTAATTATTAACTGTCTATATCTCCATAGTATAATATTTACAGTTATCACTAGTTATGAAAAATCATTCCCTGTTTAGTGCCTTATAGGAATAGTGAGTGCCTTTCATCTAAATTAAGTTAACAAATAATATTAGTGTTTTTAAGAATTTTAACATGTATTTTTGTATGGAATAATGTTTTTAATAAAGTGTTTTATTCAACTTATATTACATTGTTTTTTTTATATATTTAAATTTAAATAAAAACGTCCAAAATAAATATTGAACAGATTATAATGACTTGGTACAATAATAATATTTAACCCGTACATTATTGTGCCATTTTGTACATACGAGTAAATAATTTGATTTATTTGGTGTAAAAATGGTTTTATTTAATATATTAGACATCTCCGTTTTCCCAAACAATGAATCTTTCTCAATATTTCTCAAAATTAATAAATAACATATTTTTACCATTCTCATAAAATTATTTACATATACATACACGAAATTTCTTCTTTCATTGTTTTTCACATTAATGTAGGAACAAAACGTACACTTACTTATACATATTATATATTAAGAAAATGATTAAGTTTGTGAGTATGAAAATAAAACAACACCCTAACTAAAAATTTATTCACTAATAAGTAGCTATATTATCCCTCAATGCATCTATTTATACAAATATATTTAAGGTAGTGTAATTTGTAACACCATGTATATGAGTAAATGGTTTATATATAATTTTATACAATAATTTTATCGGACTAGAGCTAAAGCTGTGAACGGTATAAAATCTAATGATTTTTCTGCATTGTCTAATATACTTACTGACAAATATAGTTGTATTTTTAGACTATGCTCCCAAAATGTTTTAAAATTTATCATTATTTTAATATTTTTGTATGATTTTTCAAACATTTAGAGCAATATTAATTTAAGACGTGGTTTCCTTATATTTTATACGTACTAACAGATGACTGTTAAAAGAAGAAATTTCTAATTATTATATCATATTATGATATATACAAGTGTGGTGCCGAGACTCTCCTGTTTTGATAATTTTACCATCCATAGTTCTAACGATTGCTTTACACTTTCTTGTATTTCTATATTTGCAATACCATAACTGTAGTCTTCTTTGGCGGTACGCATTGTGGGGTCTGTATAGAAAGCCACAGTACATGAGCTTTGGGTACCCCCCTCCTTGAATAATTTCCATTTCTATAACCAAAAATTTAAACGGGTTTAGATATGTATTAAATGTAGACGTCATTTTTTGTATATCTTTGATAATTATATAAGTATATTACGGTAACTAATAAAAAATGTTTTAAATGAACACCGTAAACTATTATATTTAGATGTTATTAGACTGAAAATTATTTTTGTCACTGCATTAGGTATTGACGTCTTCATATAAATATATTTTGGATTCAAATCACTATATTTCGTATTGAACTATCATAAATATAGGTTAGTTAGCCTCTCACCCCCCCAACGTGCGTTCACCTTGTCGTGGTGGGGGGGCTCAGTAGTGCCCGGCAATCCAGCCGGGCGCGAAGCCAAGAAACGTACAGGGAAGTGGCCCGCTTCGGTGGGCGGTGGGAGGTGGCCCTCTTCGGAGATCAGTGTACCATGCGGGTTGCTCCTGGTACTTCTCTGATAGCAGAATGGACCTTGGAGCAACCCGGTGGTTGTTGTGGTCTGCTTCGGCAGACCTGCCGTCGGGGCGTCGTAGTTGAATGCGTAAGCGATCTGCGACGCCCCATTAAGACGGGGGAAGGTTTTAGTGGGTAGTACTGGCTTCGCCGGTGAGTCCCACACCTCGTGCGTAAATGCATTTCCCAACGTTAAAAAAAAGGTTAGGTTAGTTTGTAGTGAAACAACAAGATCCGTTGACAGACTGTTTATTTGACATCTCAAATCACATTCTATTCTACATCTTTCCCTTTTAGACCAGGGTCGATAATTTTTTAAACAAAAAAAAAATAATAGTAGGATGATACCCATTAGAAAAGGATATTTTTCCTTTCATTATTTTTCCTTTCATTTTTATAATATTCCCCATATTATAAAATGATAAAATAGTGAAGGCATTATTAATTCAATTTTGTCTTTTCAGATTATCAGTATGGATGAATCTGTTTGTATCATCTGCAATAAGGCAGATGATAAGCGAGTGTATGAAATAAAAAAGGTTTTTTGTTTTTTGCATTTTCTCAGAAGATTTACTATAGTAACATATATTTTTTTTTCACCATCGGAAAGTAGAGATTGCAACGAACAGAAACATACCAACTTTTTGAAAAAAGCTAATATTTTGACGGGTGAATTTTCGATTGAAAATTAGGGTGCTTTTTCGATATTAATTCAAAATAAGGTGAAAAAATAAATATTTTTAATCAAATAAATTACAGCGTATTTGGGACATAAAAAGGTAAGTTTTCACCAAATTTCGTTAAAACGAAAACATTTTTGTAAAAGATAAAAATAAAAAACCAAAAACTTGGTTTTTTGAATTTTTCACATAAATTTTGAGGTTATGTGAAAAAAGTGTAAATACAAAAGTTTTAGATCTTTTTATTACCTACAATTTTGCCATTTGACTTTTTTCAATAGGAGTTTTAGTTTTGCCGGAAACCGAGAAAAACCGTTTTTTACCCTTAAAAACTCACCCCCATCCCCTTCCCAACCTCAGATCGCCCGTAAATTATTTTTCCTTTCATTTTTATAATATTCCCCTCCTTTTCTAATGGGTTGCATCCTACTATTATTTTTTTTCACTTTTTATTATGTTTAAAGACTTCTACCCTGGTCTATTTAATAATGAAAGTAACATGCAAATTAATTAATAATACTATTATAGACTTAAATTTAAGCAACATGCATTTATCTGCTAATTACTAATTATTACTTTTTTTTTGTTTTAGAAACATCTTTTAATTCTATCCCTAGCTTTATTTGCAGCTATCCTGGTTTGTCGCGCGTCGTTATTTTTACTAAAGCTCAACGGTGAACAGTTATCAGAATCACCGACTTGTAGTTGGGAAGAACAATGTGTAGCTAATTCAGCACTACCTGAACTGTCACAGTCCCTTACCATGACCTCATCGTCCGGGATCATCATTTCTGAATGAAATGTTGCCGGAGAAAGATCATTTTGAAGCTTAACCAGGTGCTTGCGATTTCTCCTAAGACGTCTACCAGTTTTATCAATCACAAAATACGAGCGTGGTTGTGGCGCACGCCCTACTACCCGAGCCTCACGACCCTTTTTCCCATCATCTCTTGTGATTACATAATCACCAATCTGTATTTCGGGCATTGTACTAGTTTTTTTATCGTGCCAGGCCTTTTGGTTATTTTGATTTTGAATCATAGTAGCGTGGTCTTTTGCGTTATCCCTAGCAGGTTGTAACTTTTCAGGATGAATGGGTAAACGAGTGTTGAGTCGTCTACTCATTAGTAATTCAGCTGGACTCGCTAAACCATTTCTTGGCGTAGACCTAAAATTCAATAAACTTAAGTAAAAATCAGAGCCATCGGAGAGTGATTTAATAAGCAAAGATTTAATTGTTCGCACCGTGCGCTCGCTTTTGCCATTTGACTGGGGATAATTTGGCGAGGACGTTGTGTGCATAAATCCCCAACTCTCACTAAATGATTTAAAGTCTTTAGACGCATAACATGGACCATTATCTGTGACCACTTCACCAGGTATACCGTGACGTGCAAATTGGTCCTTGAAGGCTAAAATTACGGATTTAGACGACATTGAGCTTAAGGGACAAACTTCAACAAAATTTGAAAAATAATCAACTAAAATCAAAAAATGTTTTCTGTTATACTCAAATATATCAAAGCCAATTTTTTGCCACGGCAGTCTCGGTATTTCATGAGGAATCATAGGTTCTTTGCGTGGCATCGCCGCATGAGCAATGCATGTTTTACAACGACGAACCGCCACCTCAATGTCTTTTGACATGCCTGGCCAAAACATTACCTCACGAGCTCATCGATTGCACCTGTCAATACCCAGGTGACCCTCGTGAACTCTTGACACCATTTCTGAACGCAGAGTCTTTGGAATATACACTAAGTTATCTTTAAACAAAATACCATCAATAAATTCTAGGGATTCTCGGCAATCCCAAAAACGACGAACACTCTCATCTACTTGATATTTTTGCTGTGGCCATCCGTCTTTTATATAGTTTATTAAAGCGAGACATTCTTTATCACAACTGGTATTTTTTCTTAAAATGTCAATTTTTTCAGGACTAAATCGAATCCATTGAAGCATAAAACAAGTTTGGTGCTCAAGCTCTTCTGATACGTTCTCATTCATACGATCAGGTAGCGGAGCCCATGACAGTGCATCAGCGATAAACATGTACTTTCCTGGTGTATACCTGGCCGAGAAATCGTATCTCTGAACACGCAGCATCATACGCTGCAGGCGAATAGGCACCTTGTCCAATGATTTTTTAAAGAGTGCTTCAAGTGGCTTGTGGTCCGTTTCCACAACCACGTCTTCTTTACCATAGACATACTGGTGAAACCTTTCTAAAGCAAAAACAATGGCCAGCATTTCTTTTTCGATCTGTGCATACCGCTGTTGCGTCTCTGTTAAAGTGAGCGAAGCAAACTCCACGGGTCGTCCCCCTTGAAGTAGCACCGCACCTAACGCATGTGAACTCGCATCTACCGACAATAGCGCCGGCGCGCTCGCATCATACAGTGCCAGGACTGGAGCTGTACATAGGTCCTGCTTCAGCTGTTTCACAATTATATCCTCCTGCTGACCCCAATACCATTCAATGTCTTTTTTTAATAAAGATCTTAGAGGAGCTACTTTCCTTGAGAAGTTAGCTATGAATTTAGACACGTAATTAACAACACCTAAGAACCTCTCTAAAGCTTGTCTGTCTGTAGGTGTCGGCATGTCTAAAATAGCCTTCAGTTTTGCCTCTTCAATTTTCATACCATCCCCACTGAACGTGTGCCCCAGGTAAGTAACTTCCGTAACACCAAATATGCATTTGTCACGATTAAACCTTATACCAACATCTTTGGCTCGCTCTAAAAGACTCTTTAACCGTTCATCGTGCTGTTGTCGCGTGGACCCCCAGACTATGAAGTCATCAATAAACGAATCGACGCCTTCCAGATCTTCTTGTGTTTGACGTACCCTAGCATGAAAAACTTCTGAAGCTGAATTTATACCAAAGGGTAGCCGTGTGAATTGATACCGTCCGAACGGAGTACCAAACGTACAGAGGTCTGCACAAGCGTCATCTAACTCCAGCATCCAGAACCCAGATCTAGCATCAAGTTTGCTAAACTATTTAGCACCTTTAAGCTTCGTAGCAATTTCTGTAAGAGTAGGCAGCGGGTAATATTGTCTGCGTATGACACAGTTAAGAAGCCTGGGATCTATGCAAATACGAAAACTACCATCTTTTTTTGCAACTATAACGATCGCATTGACCCACGAAGTCGGATGGGTGACCTTACGAATAACTCCTAATTTCTCCATTCGACATAACTCAACAAACAATCTATCCCTTAGACCAAGAGGAACTTTTCGTACCGGAGATATGCATGAAGAGACATTATTCTCTAACGGAATACTGTATTTACCAGGCAATTTACCTAAGCCTTCAAATAACTCGTTATAATCTTTAATATTTAAAGAATATATACGCTTAATTAAATTAAATTTTTCTAAAGCACTTTTACCTAATATACTTTGGCTATTAGCATCTGTAATATACATTTTTAAACGAAAATTATTATTTTTATACACCCAATCTATATTGCATGACCCTAAAATATTTAAAAAATTACCACAAAATGATTGTGCTCTTACGCTAGCCGGCTCAACATCGGAAGTTGTGAATCCCAAACGTTGAAAACATTTTTTTGAAATAATGTTTAAATCAGAACCAGTATCCAACTTGAATAAAATAAATTTTGAACGATCTTTGTATAAATATAACTTTTCATACCATTTAGAATCCATAAGCGTGTCCGCTAAATCAATATTGTAAACATAAAACAACCCATTATCATTATCATCACTATCACTATTCTCCCGCAGTTCGTAGACTCTGTTTACCTTTTTATTCGGGCACATTTTTCTATAATGTCCACTTAACCGCACAAATAACATTTAACTTTTCTAGCGACACATCGCTCGTCACTAGCACAATACAGCTCACCGCATGCGCTGTACACTCCGCTTAACGCCGCACGTACGGCGCCAGTGCCGCTCGCGCCGGCCGCTCCGCGCCGTGCAACCCAGCTCGCGCTTGCACCACGCGCCGCGCCACGCCTAGCACCGCGCGCCGCGCTCGCGCCGTCCCAGCGCCCGCGCGCACCTTCGCGATGACTCCACACGGCGTCCACGGACTCCTTAGGCTCGTTTTTGGCTATCGCGATTTGCTTATTTTCCTCGTTAGATATTTCGTTACTCTGACATATACGAATCGCTTTATTCAACGTCAACTCGTCTGTCCTCAATAATCTGTCCCGGACGGCGCAGTCTATAATTCCGCACACTATGCGGTCACGTACTAGCCCATCCTCCAAGTGCTCAAACTCACACTGCTGACTCAATAATTTTAACGCCGTGACGTACTCATCTACATTTTCGCCGACCTGTTGATTGCGAGTAAAAAATTTAAAACGGACCATAGTCGTGTTGACCTTTGTTCCAAAGTGACAGTTAAATTTTTCGATCAATATGTTGATGTCATCGCGATCTTTTTCAGCATTAAATCTAAAAGTGAAATAAATATCGTATCCCTCCGGGCCTATTAAGTTGATCAGTAAACTCGCTTGTACGTCACCGGGCTCTTTGTTTACGCCAGCTGCTTTTAAAAACACTTGAAATTGCTTTAACCACCGCCGCCATGAATCTGCTCGACTTGCCGGACCTCCTTCAAATGATAATTCACTCGGCGGCCGCGCATGTTCCATTTTTACACAAATAAATGAATTTTATACGTCTATACACGCAATGCATATATTGTTTAATACTTTTTGTATGTTTAAACTAAATAATTTTAATTTTAAATGCGCACCGCTGTCACCATGTAGTGAAACAACAAGATCCGTTGACAGACTGTTTATTTGACATCTCAAATCACATTTTATTCTACAAGTTAATGGTTTATAAAAATAGTTTATATTGTTTAAAAGTTTAATGGTTGTGTAAGTTAGTCAGTTTCCTAATATTGGTTCCATCAGTTAAAACGATTGCGTTACATTTCGTGAAGGACTTCCAGCATCTCCATCTAATTCTGCCGGTGACGGTCTCGTAATGTTTCAAGAAGCGATGACGACCGATTCGAAGTACTCTCTTGCCTTTCTCTGTCATAATTCGTCCTTCAATCCCTGGAATGAATGTGGATTGCCTATAATTCCCTTAAAACAATAAAATCAGATGAAATCTATTGAATTTATTCTAATTTTTCATAAACTCATCGATTACAGGACTAAGCGCCTAATAACAAGATATGGAGATCTGTTAAATCTAAAATCTGTTTTAAATGAAACTTTTTATTGTTAATAGGAAATAGTAATAAATTTATTAATTTATAATAAACAAAAACAATAAATAAATTACAAATGATTATTAATCATAATGATTGTGTATGCCAACTCGTTTAAACATATTATTTCCGATTGTAACAGCGGTGGCTTTACAGCCTTTGTGTCTTCGGACACATCTCCAGGATATTCTGCTTCCATGGCTGTAGTCTCGACGGTATTGAAAGTTATCGTGTAAAAGCATGAGGGCACCGCGTTTTGTAGTTGACAGTTTAAAAGTCATTCCAACATCTGCAATATCGTTTAAATTTAGTGAAATTGTATTTGTTTAAATAATTTTACGAATATTTTAAGTATTTATGTATTTATAGTTGTTATATATAGTATAAATCGAATCATGTATCCATGGTAAGTACAGTAATGTGTGCCAAAGATGCATGATTCCGTGGCATTTGAGGACACGTTTGGCTCAGTTTGTAGTGACCCTACTTGCTGTGCCAGCGGTCGCGGGTTCGAGTCCCGCTGGGGGCATTCATTTGTTGTTTGATGAATACGAATGTTTGTTTGTACTCCAGTCGTGGGTGATTATTTTTATAATATGTATGTATTTAAAATTATATATGTGTAGTGTACTATTTATCAACTATACATAACACAAGCCTCGTAGCTTACTATGGAACTAGATGGTGCTGTGTGTTAATGTATAAAAGAAATGTCTTGGCTAGGTTTGCCTTTTCAAAAATTGTAATTCTGTTTAGGGTTAATAGTTAACAACGTGATCGGTATAGTCATTGAAATATTAGTGGCAATGTTGCAATAATTTTTTTTTAATAATAATAGGGAAAGATGCCGGAATATAGACAGAAAGGAATGATATATTAAAGGCCCTCACAGCAACAGCAATAATCTGTTGACTGTAGGATAGGGATAAGAGAATAAGGAGTGGAGTGGCGGATATAAATGGTACTACCACCATACTATTTGGGGATTGTTAAATATTACGTTTGCAAAATTAAAACTTAAAAAATGTCTATTAAAGTAGAACTTAATTTAAAATAAAACACAATTTAAATAGTCAATTTATTATCTCGCAAATTAAACAAGCCTTACTTTAAATTAACTGATTACAAATAAATGTTATAATCTAATCGTTATTACGTTTTACTGTCTTTAGTATAGAAAAAAAAAAAACAAATTAAATTCTTTGAGGTATGTGCGAGATTTATAAATAACCTTTAATAATAATTAATTATTTATAATGAAAAATAAAATGAAAGATAAGGGCGTACAAAAAACACAAATATTTCTAATCGCATAGTAATATTACAACTTATATTCCTTTTAGGTATTAAGTAAATTAATTAAATTCAATAAAAAATTAAATTCAATAAAATATGCACTAATTTAATTTAATTTTTTAATGAATAGACGGATATATTTACTAGTTAAAATACTTCATTTCTATTCCTTACATAACAATAATAATTATATTGTAATTATAACAATGGTGACATCTTAAATAATGGTAATAATTAATTAAAATAATTGTTAATGTAATGTATGTTGTAAATTACATTTAAGTAATATTTAAAATTAATATATCATAAGGCACATGCCTCACTGTTCTACGCCACTGATTACTACTTTAAAACATTTAAATGAAGCTGCTTAATCATTCATAATTTATCGCGTTTGCCGCTGGTCACACAAAGCAATTCAGATCAGCGAAATATGATCGTAGTCATGCTTTACATAAGTACAAAAATGGAAAACCATATTATAAAATAAAACAGCGTCCAATCTGGTTTAATTTATTCTTCTAACATACATTGTATCTATTCAGCTCTTTTTAACGTTCCACTGCTGGGCACAGACTTCCCTTCAATACGAGGGGGATCAGACCATAGTCCACCACGCTGGCCAAATGCGGGTTGGTGGACTCCACATGTCTTTCGAAAACTTACTAGGTTTACTCATAGATGTAGGTTTCTTCACTAAGAAAACTCCTCCATCGTAAGGCAAGTGGTAATCATGTAAGAAATAATTCGCACATGAAAATATCAGAGGTGCGAAACCCGTGATTTAAGCCAGTTTCATTCGGTTTCCCAAGCGAGCGAGTATTCACTGGGCTCCCATTGCCATAGATATTGTATGCGTGGTTTCAATTCCTGACCGAAGTACAAAACGGGGCAGTATAAAAGTCTCTATTTTATTGAATAAATTGAAAGTTCTAGCAGTAAAAACGTTATTGTTGCATTAAATAATACTATGTCATGTTTAATGTAAATTATCTAAAAATACTACTCTTGCCTTACATTATTAATAGCAGTTTCACTGTCAATAGGAACATTAGAAATAATTGTATTTGCTTCTTTTTCATTTGATAACTCTTCTTGAACTTTCTGTTTTAGCTTTTCTGCGTCGTTTTCCGTACTATTCCCGACGTCAGTGACATTTATAAAACAATTCTCGCCACTACTATCATGGTTTGATTTTTCGTCTAGCTTAGTTGAATCTTCTAAAGATGTAGTCTCGTGTAGATCTGTGACGTTGGGCTCTACGATTATCTGATCGGTTATCGTAAAAGTGTTTTCTATTTCGCACAAACTTTTCAGTGGATCTTCCAATTCATTCAATTTTTCTTCAATAGTGGTTTCTAAAGCATTTGGATTGGCAAAACTGAAAGATTCTGAAAATGAGTTTAAATTAGCTTGGTTAGATTGTTCCATTTCTAACTCTTCGCCATCAGATAATATTTCTATAGGCGCTTCGTCTCTAACGACCTCGATAACATCATCATCCGATCCATTATCGAAAAGAGCATCACTTGTTTGATTCCGTACAAAATTAATATTATTCGCTGAAACAGATATATTCATTTTAAAATAGCTAGTAGTTACTCTTTGCAATTTCTAAAATAGACAAAGTATTAAAATCTAGCCTAGTGAGAAAGGTGGGATATTGAAGGAGATAATATACAATGTCTATTTTATATTATTTTTATGTAATATAATTAATACTGACGTACATACAATGAACATCTATATATTAATAGTAATGAGGATCTTCGGAATCGGAGAAATTTTCATTAGGTGCTAGATACACTCCCAACATTAGCTTCTTAGAATCAATGTTTTCATTATAGCCATAATTGTTGGCGTCATTTAAAAAATTTGTTGTATTTTGAATTCTGTGTTTCATATAAGTGCGATGTCTTTTGATTTTGTGCTCTGCCCACTTTTGAGGATCGTTTCTAATACGGCTATATCGTCTTTGCTCTGCTAGACGCTTTTTAAGTAACCTTTCATCTTTAGTTTGTTTTCTTCTGGATTTTTTCCGGCACCCTGCAATATTGCAAAACCAATTAGATAATGTAAATATATTCATAACTTTAGGTCAATTAAAAGTGATTTAGTATTTTTAGTAAATAAATGTAACTTGTTCCTGCGGCGAATCCTTAAGTTCGTCCAACTCTTTATAGTTATCTCATAATATAGTTTTATTATGGATGCAGATATCTAATAAGTATCGCATATAAGTAAATGAAAATTTTACTGTTGACATTTAAAATATATTGGAATATTTGATATCTCTGAATTATTGAGATTACAATGGGCTGGTTATGGGGGTTATAAATTAACAATTATTTATCAATACTTTCAGTGAATAAACGAATTTCAATACATGTAGTATATTTACATAGTATCTGTAAAGCAAAACATATGGATTATATAAATACTTTTTTATTAACTTTAAATTATAAATGTTTAAGATTTAAATAATAGTGTCCAGATAAAATATATTCATAATAATATGTAACTGTACAAAAATTACAGTTTATTTGCTAAAGATTTATCTTAAAGTAACTTATTTGTAATGTAAATTGATAGATTATTATTATATGTTTTTCTCGTCTTAAAATCTTATTGCTAACTTAATACTAATATATAATGTTTTGAGTTGACCAAAATGTAAATAAAAATATATAATTTTCCCCCTAAAAAAACAAATAGAAACAAGATTTTTCATAATATTTATAAAACAAAGGATCATAATTATGATAAATAATTAGAGATTTCTAACAGAATAGTAATGTTCGCAAAAAAATGAATGACGGAATGATTACTTATTATAATTTTCGTTCCACTATCCGTATTTAGATGTACAAGTACTTAGTACTTAGATACTTATAATAAAATCACATTCAATTTTGTTTAATTGGATCATCATATACATATATCAGCTATTTATTCATTGCGAAAATTTTGTCCGATATTGATATTATAGATATTATAAATAATATTGTAAAATGGTAAAATTTCCCTTTTTGTTCGTACAGATAATAATCGCTAGAACTTAGAAGATTGAACAGATTGTAAGAAATCTTCAATTAATAGAAAGCTTTTTTCGTCGAGCAACACAGGCTCTAATCAACATATCGTGAAACAATAAGGAAAAAAAAATGTCGGCCGAATATAATTTAACAATATAACCTCCTCGTTTTTGGAAGTTGGTTAAATATACAATATATTTAGATAAATTTAATCATGGCTGTGTTCCCCTATAGAAAATATCTGGCCATTTATGATCCTCACAGTGCTTTTGCAGGCGTACATTAATCTCTTGGTGCATCTCCAGTAACTTCTTCCTACTCGTCCATATTCGCGGTGGTAACGATGTCCTCGTAATAACAAAACTTGGCCGCCCTTCGAAGTCATTAAGATCTGAGCTGTTAAAATATTCTTGATTATATATTTATACAGTGATTATTATAAAGTAGTAGGAATAAAATTTGGGTCTGTAGTACTTATTTGAAAAATATTTTAAATGATAAGGGAATAAGTATGAAATTTTTCTCTTTATTATTTTTTTGCAAATAATAAAATTAAAACGCACGTTGTTTTGTTTTAAAAAGTTCTTTATGTGGTGTGCGTAAGCTCGAATTTGTGTTGAGACAATTAGAACTTTCGATTTTTGAATTTTATTCTTTGGTTTGACATAACGTCAAATATCGACGCCACTTTTCGAAGAGATATTTGTTAGGAAATATGTGTGTATGTTTTTATATATCAATAGTATCTACACATAAATTTCTGTAAGATATAATAGAAAAACATGGTTATTTTAAATTTTATTTTTATTTATTAATCCGAATGAAAAACTGAATACAGTACAGTATTATTGATTAATTTCAATATTTTCTTAAGTCTATATAATTGATAATGTTGTAATCAGTGGTTTTTATATAACTAAATTGTTTGTTTATTTTAATTATTATTTCAGTAACTTACATTTTATACACCTTTTTGCTCGTTACACTTTTTAACACGCTTTTATTAGCTTCATCTGTATCTATTTATTTATTTATTTATCTATCTATCTATTTATGTAAAGGAATCTTTGAACTCGATTTTCACCCATTTAAAAATTTCAGATTGAACTGAAACTTTGCACATTTAACCAGGACCGATGACAACAATAATTTATTAAAAAAAACTATTAAGTAAGAAAAAAATAATTGAAAAATAATAATAAAAAAACACGCTTTTATAGCAGATCAAACTAAAAAATGGAAAATAAATTATAGTTTAACAAACTACAAAATACGCTTTAAAAAAAACTTAAGTTTAGTTTTTTTTTTCTTTAGTTTAAGAATAAAGTTATTAACGAGAAAATTAATGTTATTGTGAAAAAAGCGTGGGGTGCTCGATATCAGTTGTTATAAATATTCCATTGGTACTATTTCTGAAAGTAGAGTTTTAATCACTTATTTCTTATACTAATTTTTTTTTCTTTATAGCTCACGTCATCATTATTTTAATCCTTTATTTTCTGTTGCCTCTAACAGATCGCTTTTCGGCCGCTATACGTAAGGCCGCCTTGTCACATTTTGCTTTTTTATATATCATATAATGTACCATTTAAATGTGCAATATGGTGTTAAAAATATATATTCAAATTCAATCAAATGTTAACATATTTCGATCTCGAATCTCGTCAATAAACAAAATGAAAAGTCATGTTTAGTTGATATTTTGTAACTGTAAAGAGAGCTAAAAAATGAGTTAATGTTAATAACATTTGTTTTTGTTAAAACCAGCATTACTTATTCTGGATTTTATTTCATACACTTTTATACTGTTAATTCTTCCTTTTTTGCTTATCATTTTTACTTTTCAAATTTATTTCCGATAGACTCAGGGTTCGATCTGAACGCTTTCATAGCACTATTAAAGGCTCATAATATGGCATTTTTTTTAAATGAAAATTATTAAATATGATTATTTTTTCTGCTCGACGCATGATTTTTTAATCCTTTTTTTTCTGTGGATATCATATTCTAATTTTTATTCTAATTGACTTTTCTTTACCTTCTTACAACGATCTTTCTTGGGTTGATTGAATGAAATATTGTATTCTTTTGTAAGAATTCTATAAAATAAAGTATAATTTCCATACGGAATATTTTTGGATTTACAAATTTCAACGTAGTCTTTGTGGATACCGACGATAGATCGATCTATGTAATTCTTGATAATGTTAGCTCCACAATAATGGGACACTTTTGGTAACGACTCAATGTGTTCTCTTATTGTATTACGGATTACCTCATCAACTTTTCGGTGATTATTGTGCTTTCCTCTATTGTCGTCTGCTACAAGAGTCCCAGCAACTTTATTTTGTTTTTTTATAATAGTACAAATAGAACGATCCGTGATGCCAAGCGTGTTCTTAAAAAATAATTTACATACTCTTATTTTCTCTCCACGCAATTTAAAATAAAATGCATTATTATACTGGCGTGCTTTCCTGCAGCCTTCACGTACATAGCGATACTTGGGCCTAATCTCTTCCATACTATTAGAAATAAAATTCCATTGTTTGGAAATATTGCCCAATAACCAATAACTCTTAAATATAGACTTTCTTTCAGTTTCAGTAAACTTTGTGCTGCACTGTAATTTGCATTTTTCAGAGCAGGAATTTTTGATGTTACGCTCTGGTACAATTTTCCTCGTTGCACTCATATAAGATTTCCCTTCATTCCTAAGTTTCTTCGAAACATTCTTTTTCCACATATTTTCGTTCCTCTTACGTTTTCTGTTTTGCTCTGAAACATTTTCTATATTTTTTTTATCTGGAACAGCATCAGCATCAATACCAGTAAGTAAACCTAAATGTATAGATGATTCGTTGTATTGTTCTTTGTCGTCTTTGTTAAATGAATCAAAAAGTATAGGAGACGCACGATCTTGAAAGTCAAGTGTTTGATAAAGTGGCGATCCACTTTCTTTGATAGAATTACCATTATCTGCAAATAACATAAAAGTTTAAAGCCAAAAATGAGTCTTTTATCTCATCAAGTTTACCATCACATAAATACCAGTAAATATATAATGAAATCTCTTCTTATTTATTAAGGCTACTACCTAATGATTCCTTCAAACAGTAGGAAATAGCACAACTTCACTATCCTATTAATTATATATTAATAACGTAAAAGTTGAGCTCAAAATGTAAGGCTTAATGTATATACTAACTTTAAAAAGAGTTAGAGAGAAGTTTTTTAATATATGGAATATTTGCGGTAAAATGCTTAGTTTAGCGGTCGCAGAATTTTGTTATTTCTTGTTTTTTATTTTAAAATTAACAAATACTATGCTATTGTTTTTGCTTACTATAAAAGGGATTGGTAAAAATAAAAAGTAAATTTTGTATTTTACTTTTACCTAAAAAAATTACGTAAATATTTTTTAACTTATATAACGCAAATAATATTTGGCACGAAATCTTCAGCAGCTATTTCATACATTAGTTTGATTTAAATAAAAAAATATAGGTACTGGTGAAATATATTACTATATTTAAGATTTCGCAGATTTCATCAAATGACGAAATAATCACAGTGTTGTTGCAATTAATGTATATTATACAATATTCTGTACACATAGAATCAAATTTTTTAAGTATAAAAAGGGCTGGTAACATAATATATTTAATATTGGGCTCAAAGATCGTAACGTTTTGTGACATTTTATTATGCTAAAAGATATGCCTACAGGCACAAAAAATGAAAGTCCCTTTAAGTTTCCCAGTTTAATTCATTTAAATAGCCGTCTTCGCAGTTAATATGAATAAAAATCTATAAAACACAAATACAGGTACAATCTATACCTCCATTCCCATAACGTATTGGAATGACAATGTGACACAGCCGAAGATCAGACGTAAGCTCGATGGCTGTATATGTTCTCCGATAAATGAGGAAGTACCACCTTAAACTTCCTACCTATTGGAGAAAATCCGAATGGCTGCTAGGCTATCGCAGCAATACTCTATACATAAGATGGTCCAGATTTATATTTTTTAATGAAATGTACTATATTTTTTGACAACCATTAAAATCGAATAGTTAAACAGAATTTAAAATACCAACGATTATTGACTTGTTGACAAAGTATTGTTTGGAATAAAAGTATTAACGATCTTGGAGCTTAACTACGTTACAGTAACTAATTAACTAAATGCATGTTTCTTATCGGCTTCCACTCGAGAGCTGTCAGAGCGTTGGACGGGTGGTTATGGTCGTTGTTCAAAGACACGATTTCATCTTCTATCGTATGCACTTTTGCTGTACAGTCTGCATTTGATGCACATTTCCAGATCTTCTTTATATGATTTAAACAATAACTTCTGCAAATGAAGGAATATCCGTTGATTACAAGTTGCCGCGTTCCTCTGTTAGATGTTCGGAAAAAAGCTGTAAAAAACAATATTTTGCATTATTCTGAAAGAATATAATACGGAATAAATGTATTGAATCGTGTGATAAAATAAAAATACGTGTGATTTGCAAACTTTCATTATTATTATTATATTGGTTGATACAAATTCTAAATATATAACAACCAGACAGTGATATTTACGATGTTATTGTGGTTAACTTAAACAAGTGTATTTAAACCACCATGGCCAATCTTAATTATTTACGACAATCTCATCTTAAATCTTCAACGAAATATTTTTATCTTTATTTAATCACAATTAATCATCATATTCGGTCTGCATGCGTCCAACCGCTGCCAGCCACTTTACATATATCGGCGCTTCACCAAAATGGAGAGCGTCCTACACGTAGGGTGGTAGCCGTGGTCTGCAGGGTTCGTCCTTAGAGTTTCGTCCCAACCAAAAAACAAAAGTAATATTTTCGTCATGTTCGTCTGTCTGTATGTCATAACTACACTCATTTACTCTGTAGACTATTGAAGATATATTGCTAATCATATTTTAGGAATATAGCTACAATAGTCTCCGTAGAACTCAGACGTTTGACTCCAAAATTGTCTAGCAGTTCACATGATAGTTACACTTTTGGGGTCAAATTACAAAAATCAAAAATGTATGTGGAATGAATATGTAACTGATAGGTAAAAAAAATTTGGTCTACGTGATGTATTGAGATAGATTACTTTGAGATTTTTGTACACGCTGTGTGCTTTGCTATTTTAATATATTGTTTATTTTAAATATTTAAAGATTTTTAAAAATAAATAAAATTAAAGTGTCGTTTTTAAGTGTATTAGAATATTGCTAGTTTGTTGGACCCGATAATTTCTGAGGCGATTTTAACAGATGTACAGAGAAATCGGGAACAAAGCCGTGAAATAGAGGGTAAATTATTTCAAAATGTTTCGAATAGATATTCTCCTGACCGATTTCGGCCACGGTGACCATTTTAACTGAGATTAGCGAAATGCTGGTCAAGTCAAGTCCTGATACTCTTAAATTCTGATAGGGCGATAATTCGACACGGCCGGTGAGAGATTAGGTGTAGGACTGACGGCTTTACGTGCTCTCAGAGGGCGTGAATCCTCCAACTTTGGGAAGTTGCTCGGAGTTGGGACTCCGGGCTGTTACTGTAAATTTCTTAACAGAAAGTCTCAATAACTAAACTTGGTTCGACCTGGGACTCGAACCAGGACCTACGAATGTGCAGCGTTACATGCTAGCCACTACACCACCACGAGAGTTATATATATTTTTAATTTTTATTTGGCTGTCTGGTAAGAGGATTTGGGTAGGTAAGAGTAAACTTGTCGCACTAACGACGCAGCAGGTGAAAGTAAGTTGGTGTCATTTTATAATGTAGTAAGGAAATAATAACAATGGAAATTATTATTAAAATTATATTATGCATAGTCTTAAACAAATAATATCCTAAAATAAAAGTAATAAACGAGATGATTAAATCTAAAGAATTTACAAGGACGACATGTTCACTTTTTGTTATGGGAACAAGTCCTTCAAATAAAGATTTAAAAAAATCTAAAGAAATTTCCTTTCCACTACATTTTGATCCATTGACCGGATTTTAACCTACAATAATTAGGTTTCGGATGATTATGTTTCCCCGGGCCGGGGGTGTACACTGGTCCCATACTGTCCACATAGGCTTTACATCCAGCGTATCTATTTGAACAATACCACGCCACTTTACCGGATAAACACACGCGTTGCTTTTTGTAAGTATAACCATTGCACATTAACAGTGGGTTAGTTCCTTTGGACGACGGCAGCAAAAACACTGTAATACATTTAAATTTTTATTAAATATATGCATAAAGGTATTAGTCAATTTATTATAGAACTATACGCATGTGACAAAATAAATAGAATATGTACATATCAAATAGTTAATATTTACATTTAATTAATCAATAGAAAATCAATTTGAAGAACTTTCTTTTTTTTATAATAATTTTAACATGTCAATTCATTTAAATAGTTATAGGTAATGTTTATGAAGGAAGTGTATTGATTATTGTTGATTAAAACAGTTTTATTTGTGAATAAATTATTATTAATGGTATTAAGGTATTAATAATATAATAAATAGTATTATTTATTATAACGAATTTTAATTAATGTAAAACTATTTTAAACTAAATCTTTGAAAGGACGTTTGTCATTAGTCTGACTTTTGATTCGATTTGGATGATATAAAAGGGACTTATTGTGTGGTTGGGCAGTAGTCTAATATCGACTACAGTACGGAGCACTACAATAACCAAGTTAAGTACACTTTTGTTGTTGTTACTATGCTACTTTGAATTGTAAAATTATAAATGTAATTGCTTTAGTTGCTATGATTTATATTTAAGTTATATTAAACTGATTTTAAAATATATAATTATTTTCTTATTTCCTATATAATTACTGCTTAATATGTTCAATAGTTTTCCATGTAAATATATATTGAATAATGAATTCTAAGTATTAAAGATATTACATTAAATTACCCTTTTTATTTTCTTTACATAGTATTTATTTTTAACAATGAAATTTAAAAAGTAGAATTGCTTTGTTATATTTAAACGTAAATTCTCACACATGCAATTCGCTTCTGCTACGCTCAGTCACTGTTCACAGTTTGCTTTTGACTTCTTGCAATGTTTTAATATTTAGTGGGAACCACGTACTGCACAAGGATTGCCAAATTCCTTATTTTACCAATTTTTAAGGCGCAACTTAGCTAGCACGTTTAAAAGCCATAAAAGAAACTTAGTACGAGTATATCTATCTTGCCAGAAATGTGGAAAAAGGAAAATATAATGTGTTTGTGTGTATACATGTGTATAATAGTAGGTATATATATTTAAAGAACGTTGATTAAAAATTAAAGAAAAACATACACCATTATATTAAAGTCGTTTAATTAAATTTGTACATGTTATAACAGAAGATAGTGCTGTTTGTTGGTTTATAGAAAATATCTACACTTAAAATGTTACCGGACAGTTTTAGTCTAAAGACATTTTTGATGTATTACTTTAAATCCGTCCGCCTTTGTCCGTGAAGATGGATAAAGTTAATTATTTTTCTTACTCAAATGTCTATGAGTACCTATTTTTATAAAAGTCGATTGAACGCTATACTCGTAAAGTTAAAGCACGCCATCTTTTGGAAGACGAAATGATAGCACTAAAGTTAAAAACCTTACTCATGTAAAAAACTTATTTGAGTGAAACAATTATTGATTAGTAAAGAATTTTCAGAAAATTGCGATTTTTCACAAAGTAATCTTTACTTTTTAAAAAACCGTGACAAAAATAATAACGTTAATCAAAGGTTCCAGTTTTTATAAGTCTGGTCTGTTTGTTATTAGTATTTTACAACCCCAAAAGTAAAAATGTGGGTTCTTTAGTTGAACGCCTATGTCTATCAAATGATATGTACAATTTGCGTGGTGATATAACATTAAAAAACATATTTGTACTATTTAAACGATAAACTTTAAACTATAAGAGCCAAGTAGGTTATTTTATTTTTAGTAAATTGAATATCGTGCTTTATATAGATATAAATTTATTAATTTTAATTTTACATCAAAAACGATTTCAAATTTATATGAAGATGAAATTTAAAAATATAGTTTATTAAGAATTTAGAATTCATTAAACCTTTAGTTTTTTTCTACATAGGTTTTTACATTTGAATTACATATTTAAAAAAAATACTTTTTAATATTAATATAAGGGATATTAATATTAAAAAGTATGCAGGATGAAGAACATCACTATAATCATATGAGTAAATATCCCTACAGAGCAAAAGCTTTAAACAATCGCGCAATGATAGACACACTGCTACATAAGGCGGTAGAGTGTCATTTTCTTTTGAGCATGACGTCTGTGATTGTCCACAGTTTGAGCCGGAAAAATCCGGTTTTGTCAACTGGCAGCGTGTACGTGAGCTTTATGGTGAACTGTCACGCTCAGTTCCGCCCCGATATGTAGTAGTGTACCTATGATACATACACATGATACTATGATACATACATATGATATATAACGCTTTATATCTGTAGGGAATAGGGATACTTTCTCACGCTCTTTTTACTACATAAATATAATCTAATATATATATGTACGTAATAAAATTGCCTTCCATGACATATTTCTTAAATCTATCTTAATTATACCTTTTAAAAAGATTTAATGAACTTAATTGTACTAATTAATTATCTACATTATACTATATTTTTTCTTAGTAAATGATAATGTTGACACCTAATAAAACTATAATGTAAATCAGTGTTTTAATTTGTAATATATTTTGCATTTGGATTTAAAATATTTATGTAGATGAATTTCTATTTTGAAGTAAGCTTTATACTGTGTTACAGTTTTTTATTTTATTATGTTCGTTATGGTACGTTAGGTACTATAATATAAAGTGAACATAGTGACTTTTCAGATCATTAACAAGCCGTCTGTAAAATTTTGTAGTTAAATTGCAACATTGCACCAAGTAGGGCCAGATCTGTCCGTATTAAAATACATATTTTTTTCAGAATCGAACCCAATTACTACAATCAAACAATTAATTTGGATGTAAAATCTGAAACTACTAATCCGATTCTAAAAATCCTTTTTCTGATAGGAAGCTCGTTTACCGCCGAGTGTTTTATTACCATAACAATGTGTTTACTGTCAGAAATCATAATAACTTTAATTGAAAGTACCTGGGCCACCGAGCTTCGCTCGAAATTTTTGTTCAAAAGTACAATTTAAAAAAAAAAGCAAAAAACTTGAATACATACAAAAAAAGAACACAAAAAATTATACCTGACCGGGAATCGAACCCGGACACTTATTCAATCTTGCGCCTTGGCCGCTTGACCATGATGCTTATGCCCGAGTGTGCAAAATTATCGAACATAATATTTTGCGTGGGATAATGTAAAAGAAAATACGCATGAAAATTCGAAATCACGCGTTTTCCCAGACATAAGACTAATCTAGACCGATTTATCGCCCCCGAAACCACCTGTGTACTAAATTTCATGAAAATCGTTGGAGCCGTTTCCGAGATTCAGATTATATAGTTATATAATCTGAATCTCGGAATTGCTCGTTTAAATATATTAGATAACATGTCGGAAAAAACTTGGCCGTTGAGTGGCTTTATCGGCTACTGTTAGGCACCTAAAGACGCATCCAATTAAAGTTAGGGTAGATCGCTAGTCGGTACATATATTCCTTATTATACATTAATGAAACATGATTTTTACGTATATCAAAATTCAACTCCAAAAGGGATTGGTAAGAATTTGTATAGGAAATAATATTTTTGATTCAAATTAATTAAATAAATTTTAAGTCGTATGTATATTGCTTTTGGACACAAATAACAATTTACATGCTTTAGGGACGGATAGGATGTTATAATCGTACTAACTCACCTTTTTCCAAAGATATGTATTTTGGTGTGTGAGTCGAACACGCGACTGCTAGAGCAGTAGGCAGTGTATGTACATGTTTAGTAAGTTAACTAAATCATTAAAATTTAAATATCATTGAAATAATTTTAACACGCTTTGTTTAGGCGTGACTTAGTAACTCTATACGAGTATAATCTATAATAATCTAAAAAATAAGTAGTTAATATCTTTGAGAACTATCATACGTAGAAGTACACTACCTTATGGCACTTCGTCCCACATACAAGAAAGCACTTCAATAAAATGGGTGAATTCCAACCCAAGAAATTATTCTGTATGAGAAGGATGAGCAAACCAACAGGTAGACTTTCACAATTATAAGTAAGAATTTAAATATTTTTAAGTATTCATCTTATAAAATTTTAAACCACTCTTCGTCATTTTCGCTCTCACCGGATCCAACCGCGGATGATGACAATGCTGGTCAAAAACTGCTTGGATTTGGTCGATTTGATCAGGATCTGATTTTATGAAGGCTTTACACCCAGTTCTGGTTCGTCTCGAACAGTGCCACAGAACACCAGTAGCAGATAACACTTTGTATGTGTATGTGAAATTCTTGTACATTAGGAGAGGATGCTTACCCTTTCCTGATGGGATGAGCATCGCTGAAATTGTTTATTTATTATTAGTACTAACTTATTGTGTTATATATTATAGTGTATAATTGTAATTTTAATTAAATATTACATCTTTATAAGTATTCTAATTAAATAATAACGTCTTAATATTTAACTTTTCTTAAAATCTTTAAATAGTTAAAAATATGAAATTTTACGGGATCTATTAGATCTTTTGCAGGACTTTTGTATTGTGCGTTGACTATAATCGTGTAGTTTCACTCCTTGCGGGAGGTTCTAACGTGTAAAGTTCTTTAAGTATGAGTAAGACAAATATACATATTTGCTTCCTACTTAAAGGTGATTTCAAGGACATAAAAAAAAATAGAGATGGATTAGGTCCCTAACGCACAATAGTATAATTATTTTCATTCCTTGCGTTAGGAGACATGTCGATACTCGTGGAATCGTACGCCTCGTAACGCAAGAGAGGGAGGGTGGGCGGCGCGGGCGCTGCGTAAATCGATTTAGTGTTGTCCTAGCATCGATAAGTGGGAGGTTGCGCGCACGTTTCGAAAATAACACTGCGTGTTTGTATTTTAAAGTGTGTTGATTATTGATGATAAACAAGAGTCTTTTTAAAAGGAAAAAGTGTAAAAAGTCTATTTATTTTGGTGAGATTTCTAAGAATGAAAAATCAACGCCGGATTATAGTGCTGCATCGTTCAGTAAAATAACAATTTTAAAAAATATAATGCATTTTATTACAGAATTCCCCGAAGGAAGATATACAGATCATGTTTTCCAACGTGGCGATAAAAAAAGACGTTGTGTGGGTTGTTATGAAAAATTACGACGCACATTAACCAGCACTGACGCTTCTAAAAAAGCTAAAAGAATTGTTACCATTTGCGCGCAATGCAAAAAATCAATGTGCTTAACATGTTTTAATGAAAAACACTTTTGCATAGCTTATAAATAAACTTCTTTAATAAAACTTTTTCAATCGACAACTGAGATATTATTTTATTCCCATCACTACTTACTACACATATTGAACTATCTTCGGTTGCGGTATGAGATAAAATCGATATCTAATTTTTTTTTGGTATTTGTAGTTTATTCTAATTTCATAACTGCGTGCGAACCTAGCAAAATGTAGAGTAATAGGCTCTCTTGACCCACAAAAACTTCAAAATATATGTCATTAGTTTTTTGGAAGTTATAAATTATTTTCAAAACTGTATTTTTAGGAGACTGATTAGATCTCCAACGCACCAGCTAAAAGTTCTTTGAAAATGATGGCGCAGGGAACGTGTTAAGGTATCGCGTAATATATACGTACCTATACATAAAAATATAATTCGACATCTAGAACATCTCCTAACGGAAAAATCTAAATCACAAAATAAACAAATAGTACTTTTTTTATTATAATTAATTTACTGTTTTATATCCCTGACGATTTCTTCATTTAGTATTTGTATCAGGAACTAAAGATATAGTTGAAGTTATTCTTTTTGCGAATTCACAATTTTTTACTCTAACGGTAACATTTTAGCATTCAATTAATTCGTATGATCCATGAGATTGTAAAATTTCTTTTAAATAAAGTGTACACAATATATCCTACCCTAGAACTGGATGGAAATGGATCCTATTTCAGAAAGAGAGTTAAGATATACAAGATGAAGAGGACGATTATGATAATGTAATTGTACATAAAAAGACATAACACCTCGTCTTATCACCTCTACTGGTGACAGGAGGGCTGGCGCATTTTTCGCCCAAAGAATCGGCATTGCCATTCAACGGGGGAATGCGGCTAGCATTCTTGCCACTATTCCACGCGGACATGACTTCTACAGTAATAACTAAGTGTACATATGTTTGTATATATAATTAAGTATATTTGTAATTTTCTTTTTTGTAAATAAAGTTAATATACTATAGATAATAATTGCAAAACACTAAAATATTACATTATTAATAATTATTTATTTATTATAAAAACTTAAAGAACTTAAAACAAGGAATTATAGAAAGAATTTATAATAAATCACATATTTATTGATATGGCAATTTATTTAGACTTAGTTACTTGCCTTATCTGATTAATGTTAACAAAACTAGCTTCGAATTGTAATAAAGTTTTGTTAGCGCTTTGTCCTCTTTCTTTCTTTCTTGTACACATTGGACAAAGAGCAATAAAAATTTCTACTGCTTTAATAGGTATGTAATACTTTTTTTTCAAGGAATGCACCATTTTGTCTCTTCCGCCATGTTTTAAAGACTTATGGGTCTCTAATAAAACATCAAAGTACTTCTCTCTAGGTACTATGAGTACTATTGGATCCTTAGGAGATGATCTTTTATAAATTAAGTAATCCTCATTCGCTGTACTCATTACATCGTATTTTTTCATCCAGTAATAGTATCTGGGGTTATGTTTTTGTCCAGAGTTCTTTGCCATTTTCAATTCTTTTATGACTTCGTCTATTTTTTCTTGGACCCATGGTTTGTGGGGTGATCCTAAAAAAGGGTCACAATCACAAAATGAAATCATGTTTTAAAGAAAAATTGAAATCACGGTTTTTTTTGTTAATGTTAATTGAATTACCTTGATGCTGGAAGTCGTATTCAATGAGATTCTTTTCAAAAAGCTCTTTGAGAGTATAATTTTCGCCGTCTGTAAAAATAAAATAAGATATCACGTGTTATATAATATTAATAATAATATTTTGTCTAATTCATCATCTTACTTATTGTCAGTTGGCGATATTACAGAAAAGGTCACAAGTGGTTGCTTAAGGGCCGGCGCTGACTGATGTCAGGGCACAACACGGTAAAGGATTTTATTTCTGATCAAGTTCTTATTATTCTTATTTCAAGGAGTTTAGAATTTATATTACTTTATTTCGATACAATCGTACCGCGGCACGTCGTGGCACACCGCGGGTTATACCAAAGCGTCCTTCGGGCTGCCGAAACATGCCCAGCCGTGCCGCGACGTCAGTCAGCTCCGGCCCTTAAGGTTAACATTTGAGAATGTTTTTAATGATTTTTTGACAAGGACTGACAATTTGTAGGATTTCCAAGGAAGTTTTTTTAAATATTTAGTGATACTTTTACTCATTTACCTGAAATAGGAAAAAAAATGTTATTGTAATATAAATTTAACTTTCAGTTTGTATAACTTTTAAACGAGTAGGTCAAAAATTATAAGCGACGTTTTTTGTAGAGCGTTTAATTCCATGCAAGAGTATGTTTTGGTCATTCGAAATCGTCTATTGGCTTGTGAGGTATAACATCCAGAAATTGAAAACAAAACTCGTTATTTCTTTGAAAATTGGAAATACGCGATGCGCGATCTCTAAATAATTAAGAGTTCCGGTTTTTACATGCGTCTTTTCTCACTTCCTTGAATCTATTTGTGAGAGGATTTCTGGATACTGGAATCTGCTCCTATTCCAGATAGAGAGTTTAAAGATATACAAGATAAAAAGACGGATTATGATAATAATGTAATTGTACATAAAAACTTTAGAATATTACATATTAATATTTATTTATAATAAAAACTTAGAGAACTATAAAACGGAATTATAGAAATTATTTCAAATAAATTACAAAATTGGCATCGCAATTAACATTTAGTTACTTGCTTTTATCTGATAACGACAACGAAACAAGCTTCTAATTGTGATAAAGCTTTGTTAGCACTTTATCCTCTTTCTTTCTTGTACACACTGGACAAAGGGCAATAAAAATTTCGACTGCTTTCTTAGGTATGTAATACTTCTTTTTCAAGGAATGCAACATCTTGTCTCTTCCGCCATGTTTTAGAGATTTATGGGTCTCTATTAAAACATCAAAGTACTTCTCTCTAGGCACTATGCGTACTATTGGATCCTTAGGAGATGGTCTTTTATAAATTAAGTATTCCCTATTTGATGTACACATTACGTCATATTTTTTTATCCAGTAATAGTATCTGGGTTTACGTTTTTGTCCAGAGTTCTTTGCCATTTTTAATTCTTTTATGACTTCATCAATTTTTTCTTGAACCCATGGTTTATGCGGTGATCCTAAAAAACGGCCACAATCACAAAATGAAAGCATGTTCTACTAAATTTTAATGGAATCAGGTTTTTTTATTAATTGTAATTGAATTACCTTGATGCTTGAAATCGTATTCAATGAGATTCTTTTCGAAAAGCTCTTTGAGAGTATAATTTTCGCCATCTGTAAAAATAAAATTACGTTAACACAGTTTCGTGTTACAATAATTATTATAGTAATATTTTGTCTAAATACTCATCATTTTACGTGTTGTTAGTTGGTAGTATTATAGGAGAGGTCACAAGTAATTGAAGGTTATATCGATACAAGTGAGATACTTATAAGGCGCCATAGATTTAAGTTGCACGCAGTTTTTGTGCGAGTGGTCTTAAATCTTAGATCTCATCTTCATTTGCCATTTTTGCTACGTCGACGACGCGTACGTTACTATTTGGGAATAGTAAGACTTGACAGGTTCCTTGTTCAATATTTAGTGCCTATTTTCGTGTCTATGTTGCAAAATTCAGCATAAGTCCTATACACTCTCGTTTGAGTACCGCGTTATTAAAATTGCCAATATTTGTAATATTTTATAAATTATTAATCTAGCTCATACAATATGAAATTATGTTTTGAATTTATAATTATTTATGATTGTACTCGATAAAAGACTTAAAAATAACGTAAATAAATATTTTTCTTTGGTATTTATAAGAACTCTTATAATTTTTAAAAAAATGTATAGGTTTGCGAACCCATGGCGCTTAGTTGTAGTGCTTAGTGTACGAAAAAAATACATGTTCTAGTAAATACTCTAAATGTCTTGATTTTTAGTTATTTACCATATAAATAAGTATTTACTGCGTGAAAATACAATAAAACTAAAATATATCTTGTTATAATATTTAATTTTATTTAATAAAAAATGTACAAAGATGTAAAGATTTAAAAAAATATTTTTTACGGTATTTATATTGAAATACAAAAGCAAGCAGGCATAGAACAAGATACTAGTGTTGTTACACAAGTTGTTGTTGACATACAAGTAATGTTTTAAAAAATAAAATTATATAATTATAGCTAACAATATAATAGATAAATTCAAGTGTTCTCACTAATTCTGCTGCTAATTCTGTGCTTCATTGGCAAATAAAAATTATATTAATAAATATGAACCGATGTTTATTATAGCTAATATACTGCGAGTTTATTTTATTAATTAAAATAAAATATTCTAAATCATTTTCTATTTTAATCATTGATATTGATGATTTTTTATGTTTTGGCCATACATATTGTGTAAGATGTTTAAAAAGTCACTATAGATAGTGTCTTTTTGCCATTTATTTATTGCTTTCAAACTATTGTGATCAAATTACTTTAATAAAATTTATATATATAGTTAGTTATATTATATGATTTCTAACAATAAACACATTTTTATTTATTATTGGTTATGTAGTTTCCCATTAGTGAAAAAATTTCAAAAAAATCAATTTTTATTTTAAAAAAATTCAGTAAAATCAGGAAAGGAAAATCAGTTTCAGGAAATACCCCTTACATACAAAAATACACACACTTCGCCTCTTTATATAATCTATACCTAATATTATAAAGAGGTAAAGTTTGTGAGATTGTTGTTGTTGAGAGTTCGTGACGTTGTAGGGGGTAATCTCTGGATCTACTGAACAGATTTAGATGAAATTTGGTAAAAATGGTACTTTTTATCCCGGAAATCATCCCTTAAGGGGATGAAAATGAGTATGAAAGTTTGTATTGGGAAGCAAGCCAAGGTCGAACCCGAGCGAAGCGAGTGAGTGAGTTGCTAGTTAATCTATAAGTGTAGATAAAAATACTGCATTTTTGTCTTAAGTTAAAGAAAAAGAAGATTGTCAAAGTGTGTTGGAAGGTGAAAAGAAGTTTCCACATACTATGCAAATGTTAGTAGTATACTAAGTAGTAATGGTATACTGGCGCTATTCCATTTTAATTATCACTGACATTTTACTAACTCACTTGTTGTTAATCCCTCCACGACCGCGGATACGTCGGCGGAGTTAACAACAGATTTCTTAGAAATTTACCTGGAGGTGTTAGTGAATTCAACGATGCTTATTAGATTTTTTCTACACGATGTAAATTATCTCACAACTAGTACGCATTGTAAGAGTTTTTTAGCCTATTCGATTACGTTAATGTTAACGCGGATTTATAGAGAATGGAAACCGCGACATCCGTAGACAAAAATTAACATTTTAGTCTCTTAAAGTTAAAGGTCAATTTCATCAAATTCATATAAACTTAGTGTTTATCTAATTAACATCTACTATTTTGTGTTATTGTCATAAATTACAGTAAACAGGTTTGATATCATCATATCGTCAAATTGTAGTAAAAATTGATCTATTATAAATAAAATCTTTTCATAAGCAACTTGAAGCTTAACCTGTCCTTTGTAATGGTTTCATAATCTAACATTTTACAAAATCTAACAGAGTATTGCATAATTGACCCTTATTCCTTTAATGCGATGGTAAAGTCATTCGAAGAAAAAATTTGTACCTACACTTACGTACGTACCTTTTATATTTCTTCCTATTTAGAAGACAGCCCGAGTACTAATCTTGTCACGAGATGATGATGGTTATTTGGGTTAGTAGGCCATTTAAATACACAAAAATTAAGCGTATTAAAATAATCATCATCAAAATTTCTATAGAGGTAGCGGACCGGTACCTTTTTATCTAGATTACATTATAATAAATAAAATATGAGTTGTAAATATAAAAAAATCTTCTAAAGTTAAATTACGCAGTAAAAAAATGTCTAAAGTCTACAATGTTTTAATTATTTTATTTAATAGAGATATGTATTGCTCCAGTTAGGCAGGTTAAATAATATTATACTATTTGATAATTTTTCTATTATTTTTCCATGTTTAATATAAAACAATTTAAACTAACACAATATTCATTATCATTGCCAGATAATGGATCTAGCAGAGGACCTAGTGGAAAACTTTCAAGTTAATTTAGGTATAAAAAAAAATATACATTTGTAAAAGTAATACTTAAAATCAATTCTTAACAATATAATTAATAAAAATATCACACAGTCAATTACATCATTATTTATTGCATAAATTAGCGATAAATATTGTAGTTTCCATGACGTTTAAATAGGATTTTTTTGTCAAAAGCTTATTGAGAGTCAAAATGACTGTACAACATTGCGTTATTTACTGGAGCTACGTCCGAAACCCCTGGTAATCTTGGCGGAGGATGATCATGAGGCTTATATGCATATGCTGCTGTTCCTACACTGATTGCAGATGCTCTGCAACCTTTCAGTCTTCGTGAACAGTACCAAGACACTCGCCCGTCAGCATTCTGCTTTTGATAACTGTACGTAAATCCAGCTAGAAGCAGTAGCGGATGCTTACCACCACGTTTTGTCCAAAGGAATGTACCTGTAAGGTGGTTATTATTAGTGGAACAGACCGAAAAATTATTGGTATTTCCTCCTTTAATAAGTGATGTGAACAATTCTAGATCTTTATGTCATTTGTTAACGTATTTTTTTTTTCAATTTATTCCTATTTCATTTAAAGAATTATACTAAGTGTTCAATAAAACTTCTTGAAGATTTTTATCAATAATATTTAAATAATAACATTCGTATTTGTAATATATCTAAGGCTACTACTACAACGATACTACCACATCCATCCAAACGCAATATACAACTGTCACATCGACCAATTATTATTTACCTATGTGATGGTTATATGTTGGTCGCACAAAAAGTGCTTTTATTTAAAATGTAAAATATAGTTAGTAGGTAATGATCGTGGTCGAGACCGCATTGGTATATTACATGGGTTGGACAAAAGAGCAGAATTTAAAAAAATATTATAATATGTTAATCTTGACAAACACAAGGCACTGTTTTATTCATATTATATACTCGAACGGATGAGTGAATGATCATTCTTAATAAATAAGGATTTATAAAAAAATCATAATTCCTTATAGATGTTGCAGGGAAATTGTAAGAACCATGAAATTAAAGTGTAAGTAAGTAAAAGTAGTATTATTTTTTGACTAGATAATAAAACCTGTTAAATTGTGAAACGGTCACTGATTGGTCAGATTTAGACATCATTTTTGACGCGCAGCATGAACCATAGACTTAGAAAAATAAAGGAATAGATATGTAATATTTTTATTTATTAATCGTTTAATTAATATTCATAGGTTTATTGGTAAATATGTATAAGTAGTGAACAAAAAATAATCTCCACTTGCTACATATTCATACATATATGTATGTGTTCAATAAAATATGATAATAGTTTTTGTCCTATTAATATTATTATTCTTATTATCAAAATTAAAAATATTTATTTTTGATAAAAATTACCCAAGTCGGATCTGCCACATAATTGAAAATTAAAATTTACTAATAAATAATACTCTCAAATGTAAAGAAACAGTCTACGTACATTCCATATATATGAAAATCTTAACACGGGTTGTAGTACTTTCTTAGCTCTACGTTAAAATTACGTTTTTGGTTTTCAAAACGTTTTCCAAAAAAACAATCAAAACGGACGGAGGCTACCCATCACATCCTGGTATTGCTACTATTGATAATTAACTAGGGTAATTACAATTTCACTGAATGTGCTTAGGGAAATTATAATATATATAGGTTTGTACCTAAAAATATCCTGTGATATTGTAAGCAAAGAAGACGACTGATAAAATACTCTAGGTAACTATAATTTTCACTAGTAAAATTATAATTTAACGGATCTTACAATTTCCCTGCGACATAGATATAAGATGTAATATGCAGATTTGCACTATCTTTATTTTATATTTCCGTTATGTGTTCTGAAAATTTGAATACTTGATTGTTTTTAAATTGTTAAACATTTTAACATAGCTTTTATTCATATAAGATACTAATTTATTTTATAGTTTACAGTTAAAAAACACAATAACAAATTCTTTGGTAATCTCTAATATATTCTTAGATATTTGAAAAATTGCTAAATTTTAACATAAAAAAAACTTTATTCATCTCACAATGCGTATTAATGTATACATAAGTATTGCTTTTTCGGAAGTTACAATTTAAAATAACTGTATGCTTCCGTGTCCATTATATTTATCAAAAAAAAAAGTGCAATTCACACATCGTAGAAGTGAAACTTCAGAAAATGATATGAATATAGAGTATCAGGAGTAGGATAATCATAAGGATTTTTTTATATTATTTTTACCAAGTTTAAAAGTTATTTTACATTTTATTTGACATAAATATAAACATTACATAATAATCAGTAATGAATTTTATTATTTTTCACTTCCTGTGTAATGTATTCTATCAAATAACAACGGTTACCATGACAACGGTTACCATGGCATCATCGCAATGTATTCTATCTCATTCTATCGCCGGCTTAATCCTATATATTTATATGTTTGTCTCTTTTTACTGTCGCATTTCCGTTGCATCGAGTTTCAAATCACAACGATTCTAAAGAAGTTTCACTTCAAAAATTCTTAGTAATTAAAAACAAAAATGTATATATATATATATCTTAAAACGATATCAAACATCAACAACTTTTTAAAAATGAACACTCCAACAACAGTCTCAAGTTTTCAGTTTTCTATTACGTTATTTAAATAGACATACCCATCACAATACCATTATTTACCCTGTTTATAACCATATAAAAATAGAATTTAATTTAGCATCATTATAGATCAAATTGTATAACTAACTTATATTCAGTTTCTTTTAAATATACACATAAATAACATAAAGTAATTATTACGTTCAAATAAAAGATGTAACAATTGAACAAGTGAGTGGTAAAAAACCGTCGTACGTAGTTAAATAGGGAAAATTGAAAATATTTGATAAAGTAAGGTATCGTAGGAGTTTAGACTTTAAATCATAGATTGCCTCATATAGCAAGCTCTTCGCATCAATCATAACGTATTCTTATGTGACAAAATAAAATAAAAATGGCTAACAACATTAAAATATTAGGTATACAAGTGGAAACTAATTTAAAATTAAAACAAACATATATTTTAAATTAGTAAATTCTAATCAACTGATCATCTTTCTTTGTAAATTTAGGTTTTCTATGACAGTGGGATCCGATATCTTCAACGACCTCATATTGAATAGTGGTATATAATTTTGCTGTACAACGCTTGGCAGTTCCAGGCTGGACCATAGTACATCTCCAGTGGACAAAGTCGTTTCTTAACTTTTGTAAACTGTACGAGTAACCCTTGAAGACAAGTAGGCGTCCGCCTCTCTGTGATAGGGCAAATGAAACTGAAACATTTTTCGTGTTATTTATTATAGTAGATATTATATGTCTATATTAACACGATCGCTGCGCGTGTGATTTTTCTGCGGTTGAAGATCTATGCACCTGGTAATAAAACTTCCATTGTGGCGGCACAAGGCTTATAGACCCTGTAACATTTAAGAAACTTAAATCCTTTTTTTGGCTTCATGTAAAAATATATTAGATTTTTTTGCTTTGAATATTAATAATAATGAACTAATTGACATACACCTGAAGTCATTCGTTAACAACTTGTTTAGTTTAAATATTATAGCTATATTTAAAATACAGGGTTTATGCACCCTGTGCCGCACTGAATATGGGAAGTCTGGTGCGTATTTTAGGGATGTGAAATAAAAATATCGAGTCTTAATTAAGTTTTAATATAATGTTTTTCAATAAAGCATGGATAACAAAAGTTTTTTTTACATTGAACACATTCAGTTAAAATTTTTTTTACTTTTTTGTCAGTTTGGCGGCTTGTTAAAAAGGTTCGGAGTTTTTGGTAGCATCCGACACAATTCCTCCTCTTAACACCTTTTACTAAATTGTGTTTCTCAATTTTTCGTGCGGGTTCTGAATAGATAAATTTATCGATTTATTTTTTATTTATATGTGTATATGTGTGCGTGGATTGGTTCATATTGCTCATCATATTTCTAGCTTTTCCTTTCAGAAAAAAATTGACAACGTCAAAACAAAATTTATTGTGTAATCAAAATTTATTTAAAAATATATCCGAAAATAACATTAGAAATTTAAGTAATAGTATAAAAATGTTTAAAAGACAAAAAAATCGAAAGTGCATATTACAAGACCTACGCGATACCATACAGACAAAGAGAGACAATAGCATTCCCAAGGAGGTTAGACGTCAGGCGGGCGGCCGGTCGTATAACTTTTGCCAAATCCTATCAGCAGTACGGAACACGTACTGCGCCCACCCCAACTGATTGGGAAATGGGCAGGGAGATGTGTGCTCGGATTGGATGTGAATGTGTGTGCATGCGTTTTCGTCTGTGTTGAAATTACCTGTATCATTGGCAAGGTCCTTTTTTGTAAAAGCTTTGATAATTTCCTCCACAAACTGTACTTTTGGTATTTTATTCCCATCATTTTTTAAATTATAGACACTCCAGGGATTAACAAGAGCTGTAACAAATAACAACTCCATTATTACTTTCCTCCACCACTTCAATCCTTTTTTAATGTTGTATAGTACGAGGACATTTGGTCGCTGAAATCTATTCCTTTTTTAGAATTATTGTACGTGAGCACACATCCTGGTTTCTTAAGTTTCATCAGAGCCTCGTTTTTTTTCCTGTATCTATAAGCTTATCGTCGTGATTACTGCAGGTGGTTAACATTAGAACTTGTCTTTTATCAACCCATTTCAGTACTTTAACTCCGTTTTTCTTCATTTTTCCTATAATCTCGCCCTTGTTTATCTTTGATGGGGTAACTGTCTTTGGCAAATGTTTTCTTCTTACGTTTAAAGTTCCATATATGAAGGTCTTTTGTCATAGGAGTTTTTCTGCTAGACTCAATGAAGTATAGTAATTATATACTATTACGATTCTGGCTGTGGCTCTGGCTGTGATCGACTTCTTTTTCAACCGACTTCAAAAAAGGAGGAGGTTCTCAATTCGACTGTATGTTTTTTTTAATGTTTGTTACCTCAGAACTCCGTCATTTATTAACCGATTTGAACAATTTTTGTGTCGTTTGAAAGTGTATACTTCCAGATTGGTCCCATTTAAATTTCAAAAAAAAATACCACCCCTAAGGGTGGAAAAATAGCTAATGATGAATTTAACCTACTTTTAATTGTCATATTGACTTGAAACTTTGCAAGTGTTTCTATTTCCGTTGATAGTACAGTGGTTCGGTATTGTTGACCTGATCTGATGGTAAGGCCAGAAGGTGGATAGGTGGAACTCTTCAGCGGCTAATAGTAGATACTTTGAGTTTGGGCTTGTTTTGTTTGATTTGACAAGCCTAATACGTTAGAATTCTTACTTTGCTACTACTGTCTACACTAAAAAGGGAAAAATAAAAACTTTTTAACAAAAAAATAAAAATCGACTTCAAACAAAAGCACTAAAAAGTAAAAAATAACTGATTGGTAGTTTTCATTTACTAATATTTTTTCATAATCAAATATTTTCGAAGTCGGTGTGCATTGGCTAAGTAATTAAACCCTACCTATTAAATACATACCTAATCAAATATTTTCGAAATCGGTGCCAGCCCATATAAAGCAAAGCACACCGACTTCGAAAATATTTGATTAGGTATGTATAGTAAATGAAAACTACCAATCACTTATTTTTTACTTTTTAGTGCTTTTGTTTGAAGTCGATTTTTATTATTTTTTTAACCTTTTTACCTGTATAAACTTCTATTTAGTAAGTATAACCTTCGGGAGTGCAAAGCTTATAAAGTTCTACCATATACCATACCGATGAGACTTATTTTTTATATATTGGCGGAAACTTAATCGTCCTCTTCATGGTATCATTGTTTCATCAATGACTACATGTTTACCTAGTTTTAATTTTTGCTGACAATTTTCAATGATCTTTGAAAACATATCTCTGAATTTATGTAGTTTGTCAGTTTTATCATCATTCGAGACATCACTATATGGGACGACCACTCGACACGACCAGTGAGAATTAAGGCGCAGGACCGACGGCTTTACGTGCTCTCCGAGGCACGGGGGTGAAATACTGCCGCACACAACTCCGGGCTGTTACTGAGGCTTACTATACAGAAAGACTCAACAACTAAACTTGGCTCGACCCGGGACTCGAAGCCAGGACCTCCGGGTGTGCAGCCGTACATGCTAGCCACTATACCACCGAGGAAGTTAAAATAGGAGGAGTTCACAATAGAACAGAAATGGTCGCAGTGATACCCTAGAGCTGCAACAAAGTAATAAAAAAATCTTTAAGATGTCAAAACCTTACATATCTCTCGTATTTCCTATAAAATAATCGAAGTATTCAAATTCGAAACGTCGCGAATAAAAACTCAAAATGTGCGACACAACCGACAAAATAGCTTATTTTAAAACTGAAAGATTCGAGTGAAAGAAATTATTATTTAATGCGTTCTCATATAAGTACCGTCAGAAAGCAAATATAGGGTGGGCGGTAAATGTTTATGCATAGACATTGGCTTCGCAAGTTTTCCATCCAAAGTCATGTACAAGTACACTCCACAGTTCGAAGTACATCCGTAACGTCGTAATGACGACTTCAGTTCCTTTCCAGACCCAAAAGTGTATCCATTGTACAATTGGAACTTCTTCCCTGTTACCATAGTTATTTCTTCAATTTTATTTTCTGAACAATACAAATCTATAAAATAACAAAATTAAAGTAGTTAGTTGGTGGTAAAGATTTAGTCTGAGTACAGTTTTAATATTTGTCAAGGTAAGTTCTTCAAATATTAGGTATTCTGATCTGAAAATATTATTAATTTTAATTTTGTAATTTTAAAATAATAAAAAGATTTTAAATAAAAATATTACTTGACTATTTTCAGCAGAAGCATTACCAAAATAAAGTTTTTCTAATCAATTTTTAGTAAAAGTGAAAATTATGCAAATATAAGAAGTAGGTATAATAGTTTAGTTATAAGAGGAAATGCCATATTTTTATACATTTGCGATCTAAAGGGTTTTATGTTTTGGGATTGTATAAAATAAAAAGAGATCAAGTCAATCAATATGTTTTTATTGTAAAATATATAACAGCGCAAACAAAATCGAAAACGAAAATCTAATCCACTTGAAAGACTAAAAGTATGTGTCGAGAATTTATTTCGTCCTTATATAAGTGCCGTTAGAAAGCATATACAGAGTAGGTGGTGGGTGATTATGAACAGGTACTGGTTCTACTAGTTTTCTATCAAAAGTCATATATAAGTACGCTCCACAGCCCATAGTACATCTGTATCGTAATGAGAACTTCAATTCCTTTCCAGCACCGTACGTGTATCCTTTAAGAACCTGGTACTTCTTTCCTGTAGCCATTGTTATTTCTTTAATTTCACCTTCGGCACTGGAATCTAAAAATAATGTCGATTGTTATATTTTTTTTCATTTTTAGGTTTTTTATTTAATTACAATAATCTATTATCGTAAATAAATAAAAACATGATTATAGTTTTAAAACACATGAAATTTGGATGACTTGTTAACCTCTAGATTCTCTCCGCCGAAGACATGATTTTTATTATTAGTAATTAAATCATTTCAAGTTATCATTTCTATAAAAGGTATAAATGTAATAAAAAAGGTCTAACGAATTAAGACATTTATTAAAGTAGTATTATTTATGGTTTAAATCATCATCTAAAACCTAACCATAAAGGAGTGGTAATAAATACGATTTTTATTAGATTTATTAAAATTAACTGTAGATTTCCAAAACTCATTTATATTTTTGTGTACCTCCCATCCTTCAACTTCAAATACTTAGGAGGTGGATGGTTATGATTGTCCTCTGAATGTAACAGAGTGCCAGCATGAGAAACCTTAAGCATTGCTTTGCATCCCGACGTACACCGCCACCTTATCCACTGTCGAGAAGTAGAACCGAATGTATAAGTATACTGTTTATACATTAGAAATTTTTTCCCATTGAAGAGACGAATGAATTCTACGCGATCTTAAAATTAAAAATGAGTTTATTTGTATGTTAAAAATCTTATAATATTTAATTATTATGTCAATTTAAAACATTAAAAATAAACAACTAATAAATAAATAAATATTTTGGGACATCAAAACACAGTACCATCTACATAGTTCCATGATAAACTACGATGCTTGTGTTTTGGATACCAGATAGTTGATGATGATGATACACTAGACATATTTAACTTACATATATATTATAAATATAAACACCCATGACTGGTTTGCAAACATTCGTGCTCATCACACAAATGAATGCCCCAGCGGGACACCAACCCGCGATCGCTGGCATAGCAAGTAGGGTCACTACAAACTGATCTAAACGTGTGAAGTCAAATAAAATCCAAATTGAAATGAAATATAAGTAAGATAAGATGAAAAGAACCGGTAAAAAAGGTCTGTTCAAAGATTTATTTGAGAGAATAAAAAAATACTTAATACTACAAAAAAAAATTAAGTACCAACAATCTTGTAATAGAAAACTAATTTCGAAAATAACTATTTCACAGAAAAAAAACGTATTAAAATATAAAGTATATATGTACATATTTTTTCACGGCAACATATAATTTTTCCTGATGCGCACATATTTGCCGTCTTCCAATCTTTCAAATATGGCTGGAGGATGATTATGCAATCGTCTTTCTATTAGAATTGTAAAATCACTATCAACTATAACACTTGCGTAGCATACATTTGTGGATATACAACGCCATTTTCTTGTATTTACTCTGGAGTAATAGTAGTTTTTGTATTTCAAGTAACGTTTGTCATCTACTGTTGTTATCAGAGATACTGAAATACAGAGAAGAAATATATTTCATTCAAAAGAATTATATAGACAGTTGGTTTATGATTTTAATGCACTTATTTTAATTAATCGATACAATAAAATTTATCTAGAATTTTAATTCATTAATTACCATATTAACACATAATAACTAAAATGTATAAGATCAAGATGGGATACATCTAAGTTCTTAACCTTTAAAACTGTCCTGACTACAAAAGCTTCGAGAACATTTCCAGGTAAATTTCTATGAAATTATTTAGATTTGTAAGAAATCTATTGTTAACTGTAACGCCGGCGTGTCCGCGGTCGTTGAGGGATTAAATCTTCTAGTTTCTTTCTTCCTTGGAATTTATAAGTATAGTATATCGACTTAATTGTCTCGTTTTGTTACTCCAGTTCATAGTCTATTTCCAAACCGTCAGTGCAAGAACAGCCTAACCCAATTTTTTATTGGAAAATAGTTATTAGATGTCTGTAACAAATTTAGTTCCAAAGAAAATAAACTAAAAACGCAAAAAAAAACCCTTTGAAACTCAAGTTAGCTCTAAATGAAAAACTATAAGTCAACAGCCTTCTCAGCATAGATTAACAGCTATACACATACAGACATACACACATACTAACTTTCGCATTTATAATAGTATTCCGATTATACAAACCATATATAATCAAAAGTTTTAGTAAGATAAAGGGTAAGTATTTGTTTATAAACGTTTCAGCCGAAAATATTGTCCATTACTTAATCTCTGAAACAGCACAGGTGGGTGGTTATGTTCTTTTCTTTGAGCTAAGACTTCATTGTTTTCAGTAACAAGTATACTAGCGTAGCAGCTACGGGTTTTTATGCATCGCCATTTTAGTCTAGAAACTTTTGTGTAAAAATGTTCTTTATATTTCAAATAGATCTTTTCATTTGTTGTCATTATTGTTGTTGCTGGAATTAAAAAAAACCCATTTAATATGCTTTAATTTTTTATAAACTGAAAATAACACATTTTTTGCGGATAAATTACACATATCTCCGAAACGATTTGACACATTTTAACCAAATTTGCAACAGGACTGACTAAAATCACTTTTCCGCTGGCATAGAAAATTCTTAAAACGTATGATAAAATTCTTAATAGATTTTAATGACAAAGTATTTATTCAATAAAGACTTCCTGAGAAAAGATAATTGTATTTTTAGGCCAGTCAAATAACGTCTGAAATCAAAATTTGGCACTCAACTTTGCATTTTTGATATAATGTAATTTTTAATGATACAAGAACAATGTGTAAAGGTTTTAGTGTCTGCAACCCCCGGCAAGGGTTGAAAAAAAATTGTCAAGATTTTTTTTCCTCCATAACTCGGTTAATTTTGACCGGAGGAAAAAAAGTTATGATATTATTTTTTTGTAAAATTTTAAGCTCTACACATTTTAATTAAAACTTTATTGTCTAATTTTCACCGTTTTCGAGTAATTGCGAAAAAACATTTTTGAAAATTTTATTTCAACCCTTGCCGGAGCTTAATGACACGAAAACCTTTACACGTTGTTTTTGTATCACTAAAACTCATATTATATCAAAAATGCAAAGTTGAGGTTCAAATTTTGATTTCAGACCTTATTTAACTGGAATATTAGAAATACTATATATTATGAATCATAATTAAAACATTTTACATACTATAACTTCTAAGATTGGAAAATCAAAGTACGTTTTTGCACTATAGATGTTTTATTGCGTTTAGTTAACGACGGTTACTTTTAGCAGTTCACGAGTCAGTTTTGGCTTAACACAGTCTCTGAGCACTATTTTTCACCACTAGTTACTCTTGCACTTTACTCCACTTTTTCGTATTTCTTCTTAATCTTCTCTTAGCTCCAAAATTCAAGTGTTGTCTCGACACACCACCGGCCTTTTTATATGTATAAACAAAGAATATTCTAGTATTCGAAATTTCGAATCTTTTCTAGTAATTGCAATTTCCTTCTGGAAAATGTTTTGTTTCTCTCTCACTCATTTACAAATAACTGTTCTTGTCAACTAATAACTGTTTAAGGCTGCTTCAGCTTCAGGCGTACTATTTTTAATTATTATTTTTGGTGTAAAGACACACTCTACTATGCGAAATATTTTAAAATTTAGAATTACTTCCAAAATAAGAATTTATTTTAGTCAAATGTTTTTTATAAATATTTATAACTAGCGGCCCACCCTTGCTTCGCTCGAGTTCACCTCTAGGAAAACGAAAAGAAACCTATCCCACGGGAACCGAACGTTTTTCCGGGATAAAAACTAGCCTATGTGTTATTCCAGACTATAATCTATGTCTGTGCCAAATTTCATCCAGACAACGTATAAGAGTAACAAACATCCATACTCACAAACTTTCACATTTATAATATTAATACGGATTATGTTGATAATACTTCAATGAGGATCCGTAACGTTTTTAGTTGAGAATGCAGATTTATAGAGCTAAGAAATCCTTAACATACAGTGCAAAAATTTTTGTTCTACGATAAAAATTGACGAAGTTATGAAGAAATTACTAGCAAAGTTCACCGCGTGGCCGCCGCGAAAGCTGTAACGTCATAGTGACGGACGCCGCCAGTAAGCCGCTGGCAGCAATAAGGCGCGCAGTGTTTTAATGACTTTGAAACAAATTAAGTGTCCGATTTGTGTCTAATTCACCTTTTTAATTATGTACAAATATTGTATAGTGCCGAAATGTACAAACACTACTTTTAAAACGCCAGAAAAACTATTTTTTAACGTACCGAAGGACCCAAAACTTCGTAAAAAATGGTTTTCCGTTGTAAAAAGAGATGATAAAACTCCACCCTCTGCCCAGGCTACAAGACATTGCTGTGAAGATCATTTTGATGTACGTTACTACATAACTATACTTATTATTTAGTACGAGTAGATATCTATACATATAATAAAATTGTAACTAAGCCGAATCTGTACATGAAATATTTTTTGGAAAATCTTATTGAAATAGACATTATTATCGATACAGAGGCCGAATCTATAGTTTTTAGAATTTTTGTCTGTCTGTCTGTTACCGCATCACGAGAAAACCATTGGACAGATTTTGATGAAATTTGGCATAGTGATAGCTGGTTATCCGGGTCAACATATAGGACTTTTTACCGCGAGAAAATGTCTCATTTCTGAGAAAAAATACAAAAACTGAAATATAAGAGTATACTAATATGTAAAACCTAAGAATTGGTTTTTGGTCATCTGAACGCGGGCGGAGCCGCGGGCAATGTAGTAACTAAATAAGTACTAAAATTGTAACGTAAACCCTTGTAACAGTGGGCCAACGATTTGTCAAAGGCTGTTAATTTGTAATATAATAGCATTTTATAGCTAACATAAAGTTTTATAAATAATATCATAACATAAAATTATTGCTATATAATAAAGTAAGAACATTCGTTTAAGACACGTTTAAAAATTATAAAACTTATATATGAGCGTCGTTAAATTGTAAGATACGAACGAACTTAAGATTTTGCGGTCCTTAAATAAAATATCTGGTATAATACAAAACTTTCTTTATTAATTTATTTCACAAATATATGTAACATTTATTCATAAAAGGATCTCATTTGTAATAACATAACTTGTAATCCAATTCATAGATTTACTTTCATATATCTTCCATTTGACTGAAGAAGTCTTCTGGGAAAATGATTGTGCTCATTATGAACACTGAGTATCTGCATATTATCATCTACATACATAAGAGCTTTGCATTTTGGTTGGTTTGTGCAAGTCCATCGATTGCTTCCTCCTCGCCTCCCCTTGTAAATGAGATAATACGTATGTCCTTTGTATAACATGTTAGTCTTTCCGTTCATCATAGTAATGAGCTTTCCTGTAATTAAATCATACTGTTACTTGTTATTATCTACATATATCTAATTATAATAGAATCAATATTGTCAACATGACCTGATGATCAGCACAAAAATCCTTTATTCAGAGGGAAGCCCTCTTTTTCACTTATGAATTATATATTTTCGCCGGCTTACAAGTAGGTTTTATTTA